CTCCTTTGGACCGGGTCCCCCGATGACGCGTCTGCGTTCCACGTCTGGGGCTGCCTTGCTCACGTTTGTGCCTCTGACACGGACAAGCTCACTGCCCGCACTATCCCCTGTGTCTTCCTCGGTTTCCCCCTGGACTCGTCTGACTGGCTTTTCTACCACCCGCCGTCTCACCGCTTCCTCCACTCTCGTGACGTCACATTTGACGAGTCTGTCTCCTTCTACCGCCGCTTCCCTCACCGAGGTCTCCCAGTTGCCCCCCCCCCCTGTTCCTTGCTCCCTCTCTTCCGGTAGCCCCTGCCCCTCTCCCGCCTGGTCCTGCCTCGTCTGGTGTCTCTCATGTCACTCTCCTCCCGTCGGTTGTCCCCGTTGAGGAGTCAGACAACTCTGGTGGTACCCCCGGTCCGTCCTTGCCGTGTCCCCTTTCCCCGGTGCCTCCGCCCCCACTGTCGCAGTCGCCGACCCCGCTGCAGCCGCCGCCGCCGTCGCCGCCGCAGCCGTCGCCGCTGTTGCCGCCGCCGCAACCGTCGCCGCCGCAGTCGTCGCCGCCCCTGTCACCGCCGCTCTTGGCCCCTGGGAGTGGTGGTGTTGAGGAGGGTGTTCGTCCTGCGTCTTCTGGGGGTGCCGCTGGTGTTGGAGGGGGTTCTCGCTCTGGGGGTGTTGGTTCTGGGGGTGCTGCTGTTGAGTGTTTTGCCGACGGTCGTCCTGCCTCTGCCGGTCCGAGGGTTCCGGCCCAGCCGTCGCCGCCACCGCAGCAGTCGTCGCTGCCGGTCTCCGCTCTCCGCCTGCTCGGCCTTCCCTCCCCGGACCGCGCGCCGGTGTCTCCCCCACCACCTGCTGACCTTCCTGTCTACGGTCCTGTGTTTCCGCCGCCGGACTCGTCTCCGGCCCGTCTTCCTCCTCGTTCCCCTCTTGTGTCCCCTCCGCTGTCCCCTGACCCTACACCTCCGTCTCACGTTTGGTCTCGTCGTCCCTCCCCTGCTCGTCCCGTCTCTCCTGTCCTTCCCACCCACCATATGTTGCTCCGTTCCCGCTCGTCTCGTCCTCCCCTCCTCCCTCGTCCCTTGCTGTTGCACCTCCTCCGTTCTCTGACTACCTCCGTGCTGCTCGTCCCCTTGTCCCTCGGGTCCTTGCCTCTCTTGTTACCGACCCTGCTGTTCCTGTCTCGCGCCTTGACGCGCTTGTCGCTGCTGTCGCTGACTTTGCCTCTACCCGCCGCCTTGACTATGCTACCGCTCTGGTCTCTGACCCTGCCCGTCCTCCGTCCGTCGGGGGTGCTCCTGCCCTTGGCAGTGACATCCTAGAGGACAGGCAGTACGAGCTTGCTTTCCTCTCTGAGGCTGCTCCCCATCTGTGCTCCATGCTGTTAGTCCCTAAGGGTGACCCAGACGCCTTCGACATCCCGACCCCTAGCACCTACGCTGAGGCCACCTTGGGACCTTAGGCCTCTCAGTGGATAGCTGCCATGGAGCAGGAGATGGCATCTTGGATATCCACCGGCACTTACGTCGACGCAGTTCCCCCGCCTTGGGTGAACGTAGTCGATGGTCGGTGGCTCTTCAAGGTGAAGCGCCCCCCTGGAGAGCCGCCTGTCTTCAAGGCGCGCTACGTGGCCAGAGGCTTCAGTCACCGCGAGGGGGTTGACTTCTTCCAGACCTTCGCCTCGACCCCGAAGATGACCACTCTTCGGGCACTGCTACACGTAGCAGCACAGCGCGACTACGAGCTTCACTCCCTCGACTTCTCTACTGCCTTTCTTCAGGGCAGCCTACACGAGCAAGTCTACCTGCGCCGACCACAGGATTTCACTGGTACCTTCCCCCCTGGGACCCAGTGGCTTCTCAGGCGCCCGGTTTACGGCCTGCATCAGGCTCCTCGCGAGTGGCACGACACGCTGCGGGCCACGTTAGCAGACCTGCAGTTCTTTCCGTCCTCTGCTGACCCTTCGCTGTTTGTGCGTTCCGGCCAGACTCTGTTCTACATACTTGTCTACGTAGACGATCTGGTCTTCGCTACTGCTGACAGGGACGCACTGGCCTCTGTGAAGGCCGAGCTGCTGAAGAGACACACCTGCACTGACCTTGGAGAGCTGCGTCGCTAACTTGGCTTGCAGATCTCTAGGGACAGAGCAGCACGCACCATCACTCTAACACAGTCACACTTGGTGCGTCAGGTCCTTCAGAGGTTCGGTCTTCAGTTCTCCTCCGCACAGCCCACACCTCTGCCTGTAGACCATGGGCTCTCCGCTCCCCTTCCTGAGGAGCCCGTAGAGCCCAGTGCCCCCTACGCAGAGCTAGTGGGTTGCCTCATGTACCTGATGACTTGCACTCGCCCAGATCTCGCATACCCTCTTAGCATCCTGGCTCGCTTTGTGGCTACAGGCAGACACCGACCTCAGCACTGGTCTGCCGCTAAGAGGGTTTTGCGTTATCTTGCTAGTACATCGGGCATGGGGTTAGTGCTAGGAGGACGCAGGCCAGTGGTCCTTACTGGGCACACAGACGCTTCTTGGGCAGACGACTCAGAGACGCTCAGGTCGTCACAGGGCTACTGCTTTAGCCTTGGTTCGGGTGCTATTTCTTGGAGATCCACTCGGTCGTCGTCTGTAGCTCAGTCCAGCTGTGAGGCTGAGATCTACGCTGGTGCCATGGCGGCACAGGAGCTCCGCTGGCTGACCTTCTTGCTCACAGACTTAGGTGAGCGGCCTAGCTCTGCCCCGGTCCTGTACGCTGACAACAGGGCCATGATGCTCCTGTGTCAGGAGCCTTGACTTGAGGGCAGAGCGAAGCATATCCAGCTGCGCTACTTCCTCCTACGCGATCTACAGCAGCGCCGTCAGGCTTGCGTAGTTCACTTGGCCTCAGGTGCCAACACAGCTGATATCTTTACTAAGGTGCTTGCGCCTAAAGATCATCAGCGGCACTGTGTACAGCTTGGTCTTGTTCCTGTAGCTACTCACTTGTTAGGATCCTGATTGTGTACTCTCTATTATATATGCCTGTCAGACTGGCCTTGTGGCCTTACCTCCAGTGGTTGGACTAGTAGTGCCGCCCTGGCTTGCTTTAGTCTTGTTTGTACCCTTGCTGACTGGTCTCCAGACCCCTGCCTCAGTGTTTGGACTAGTGCCACCCTGAGCTGTTTGCTTCTTGCTTAGCTTCACCCCTTGTCTAGCCTAGGGGGTGTGTCAACTTATACATATTAGCTGTGTACAAGTTATAGGCTAGACTGGGGTATGTTTCTAGTGAGTACAACCAGCTAGTATTTGTTCCAGGTTTCCACTTCTAGTTGATCATTCAGTTCTTACTTTAACACTGAATACCGTGTGTTATGAATGAACAAGCAGAGTAGCGCGGAAATGAATAACGAAATGTTCACTCACTGAATATGATCATACAAGGAATGGCAAGCCAAGATATAGGAACACCAGAGCTAGTCTAACCATGCGATGGTTAGGTTCGTGAAAGAGATTGAAGGGTCTCGAAGTGACGAAGCGAGGCCCGGAGTGTTAAAGTAGCACTAGGCTAGGATACTAGGCAGGAACAAGGCCGCCATGAATGTGGCGGCGGGTTTTAGCTAGGAGCGAAGGAAGAGTGTCGAGAGAAAAGGGGTTGGATTAGGAAGAGAGAGGAGTACAAGGAGGGGTTTGTACCCTCTACAGAAAGGTTCAGTAACAACCTACCAAGCCTATATTAAATTATAACTTATACAATTTGAACACACCCCCTAGGCTTGGTAGTGTCAAGCCCACTCACACCCCCACACCCACACCCACACCCCCTAGCCCAGCACCCCCATTCCCAGCAGGAGACGCAACGACTCCAGAAGTGGGCAGCTCCCACGGCCCGTGGGATGGCAATGGCGGCAGCAGCGACATTGACGACAGCGGCGCCGGTGGCGGCGTGCGGCGGCGCCCGGCCCGCGGCAACAGCAACGGCAGCGGCGGCTTAGACGTCAGAGGCTGGTGCAGCGGCCCCCGCCCTCTCGGCGGCATGTCCAGTCACCTCGGCAGTGGGGAGGGCCCTCAAGAGGCAGTCGTTGGCTGCAGCAAGGAAGGGGGGGGGAGCAGGGGAAGGAGGGGGGGAGGAGGGGGGGGAGAGGGGCGCGGGGCGTAGTCCAGAATCACGCCGGCGGCTGCAGGGCGGGCGGCAGGTCCGGCGGCACCATTGACGATGCGCGGCCGGCTGTCGCCCGATGACGCCACCACGGCAGCCAAAAGACGCCGCCATAGCGCGACGTCGAAGCCGCGGCGGCGAGGCGGAGGTGCGACAGTAGCTCGACTAAGCCGCCGCGGCATCTTAGAGAAGTCGCCACGGCGGCACGGAAGGGCAAGGCCGCCACGGCGGCAGGAAAACTAAAGGCCGCCATCGGCGGCACGGTACGAAGTGAGACGCAAGACAAGTACGAGGCGGAAGCGTGGAAGACAGGACCGGAAACGGCCGGCTCTGTTACCATGTTAAAGTAGCACTAGGCTAGGATACTAGGCAGGAACAAGGCCGCCATGAATGTGGCGGCGGGTTTTAGCTAGGAGCGAAGGAAGAGTGTCGAGAGAAAAGGGGTTGGATTAGGAAGAGAGAGGAGTACAAGGAGGGGTTTGTACCCTCTACAGAAAGGTTCAGTAACAACCTACCAAGCCTATATTAAATTATTACTTATACAATTTGAACACGGAGAACTCCCGAAGGTCAAACCAGAAGGTCTGGAGAAGCCGAGGTGATTCTGTCAGAAAGGTCTGGAACCATCCCGAGGCTTCGGGTGTGTTCGAGCGTACGCGGTTGCAGTACCGCTCGGTAAGGAATATAAAATTTCTTACAACTTTTGTTGAGAGTTTGGAGAAATCTCTACAAAATACGCCAACTTCGAAACGCTACAGCAAATATAAGATTCTTCTACAACAGCTTGTAGCGATATTGTCCATCTTCGCGTTGGCTGCACTCTGGTCTGGTCGGCATCGGAATTTCCCAAGGTGGAAACTCCGCACAAGGTTTTTCCACTGGCGGTTTTTGCAGCAGCAGCAGTTGCAACGCCGGCAACTGCAGCTGAGCTATGAGGTTCCGCAGGTGTTCTATTGTTCTATTGTTCCTGTAGCTCTGCTGCAGTATCACTCAAGAAACTACACCCAATGACACGCGTGCGTGCGACGTAGTCACGTAGTGCGAGGCCATTCTCCTTTCGTCTTAGGACCTCTCTAATTCAAGCTATTTCTCGCCGTCGTACATAATCCCTGTGCCGTCCGGTATCGCCTCCCGGTCCCGCTGCTTCCGCTCCCGCTGCTCTAAAGGCGGGTGAAAAGATGGGGGGAACGGCTGCTGCAGATGCGGTTGCTGGATCGGCGGAAGGCCGTATGCTGGCGAGCGGATTTCTTCAGCTGATGAGTTGAGCGTGGTGATGATGGGCTGAGTGCGGTGCTGAGGGTTGAGTGCGGCAGCGAAGGGTTGAGTACGATGGGGATGACTGGAGTGTTTGGCGCAATCTCTTCCTGGCCCCCGAGCTGTTGTAGGTGTTGCGGGGATGATGGGTGTTGTGTGGTGGTGGGAGCGAGCGAGTGCATGCGGTGCGGTGCTGATGAGTTGAGTGCGGCGTGTTGTTGCTCCTACAATCGAAGTACCTGTGAAAATCGTCTACCCTTGTCAGTCTAGTTTAGTATCTCCCTTCCATTGGGACTCCCTCCCCCACATCCGCCCATTTGACAGCCACGAAGCAACCAACCCCGCCTCCTCCAACCCCCCCCTCCTTCGCCCTCCCCGCACCTCGGCCCCTTTCTTCCTTCCCGACACCTCCCCTCTTGTATCCGCTCCGCACCCCGCTTCTTCTTGCCTATATGCCTCCCCCCACCTCTGATTTCAACTTGTCTGTCACCCTCTCCCCCCCTGGCTTTCAACCCGACCCCCCCTGCCTGGAGCAGTGTCCCAGGTGTCGTCGCGAGTGGTAACATTCCTCATGAATCTCGTCATCGCCAGACGCCTCTCGCCACAGGAGTTCGGGGTACAGCTGCTGCTACCCCCTCCCTGCTACCCCCTCCTTGCTACCCCCTCCCTCTACCTCTCTTCTCCCCCTCCCACAGCGCCTGTCCCATCCCATCCCCCCCACTCAACCATGATACCCGCTCTCTTTTCAACCATGTTAATACGGTGTTCCTTTCAACCCTCTCCCGACTCCTATTCTTCCACCCGCTGCACTCTCCACCCTCTCCAATCCCCTGTCTACCCTTACCGCTCCTCCCACCCCTATGCTCACCCCCCCACCCCTCTCTCCTCTCTCTCCCTCTCCCCCCCATCCATCAGATGGCAGCAGTGCAGTTTCAGCTCCTCACATCCACCATCCTCTTTATAAGCAGAGAGGGCTTCCGTAGAGGGTGTCTTCGTGCAGATGGGTGAGCGTCCACTGTTTATTTACCCCTCGCAGCACTTTTCTCTCCTCTGCTCTTCTTCCTTCATCGCCATCCGTCTCCACTCTTACCCTATTCTCCTCGCCTCTGCTTTCCTCCCCTAACTAACCCCTGTCCACCATCCCCTTACCTCACCCTGCACATCCCTTCCCCCTTTCCCCCCTCCCCCAGCAACACTCCCTCCTCCCCCTCCTCCTCCTCCTTCTCCGCCTCCCCCTCCGCCCTGCACTGGGCGCGGTGGCAGCAGCATGGCTGGCGGTCCCCACAGGGATCGCCCTGGCAGCAGCAGCGTGTGCCTTTGTGCTGCGCTACCAGCGCCTCCCCCTCTCCGACCCCTACGCCCAGGCCATCCTCCTCCACAGGGTGGCCGCAGCACTGGAGCTCTTGTGTTCTCCTCTGTTTTCTCCCTAACCTCCATTCACCTTTCTATTGCCTCCTCCCTCCCGTCCTGCTTATCCCCTCTCTTCCCCCCTTTTTTTTTTTTTTTTTTTTTTTTTTTGTCCCTTCTCTCTGCCCCCGCCTCCCCCAGCAACTCTCCCTCCTCCCCCTCCGGCTCCCCCTCGGCGCTGCACTGGGCGCGGATGGTGTCAGCAGCATGGCTAGCGGTCCCCACAGGCATCGCCCTGGCAGCAGCAGCGTGCGCCTTTGTGCTGCGCTACCAGCGCCTCCCCCTCTCCGACCCCTACGCCCAGGCCATCCTCCTGCACGGGGTGGCCGCAGCAGTGGAGTTGTTCTCCGAGCCGCTCTATATCCTGTCACAGGCGCTGTTATTAGTACGGTTGAGAGCGGTGCTGGACGCTGTTGCGACGGTGGTGCGGTGTGTGGTGACGCTGCTGCTGGTGCTGGGGGGCATTGGCAGGGTGAGTGTTGATGGGCCTGACTAGAGGCAGTGGCAGGATGAGGGGGAAGGGGGCGGGGGAAGAGGAAAGGCGGGGTGAATGGGGAAGGGTAGGCAGGGTGAGTGGGCGGATGGAATATCAAGTGTTAATATCTATGTCAAGTTACCAGGGTAACTGACGGTTTGATTCCAAAAGCCACCAGAGTGAGTGATGACCCGTCTGTTGATTCCTCAATCTGCCTTGGACCAAGAACCATGCCCCTAGTCCACTTGTATCTCCTATCTCTTTTGAGGCGCCGCAAAAGCTATCTCCTTTCTCCGCTGAGTTAATTTTTTGAGAATTCTAAAAAAACTAACTCCCCTAGAAACACCTCAATTCCTTCGAACCATCTCAACCCTCCTCAACTCCTTCCTCTCGTTTAGCTCCTCCACTAACCAACCCAATCCCTCCCCCCATTCCCCGCTCCCCCCCCACCTTCCAACCCCTCCCCCTTCTCCCACTGACAGGAGGGCGCGTGTTCGCCTATACGGAGCTCGCATTCAGCGCCACTCTCATGGCTGGCCATTGGAGATTCGCCCTCCTGCACCCCATTAGCTCCACCACCCAATCCCTCCCTCAATTCCCCCCCTCCCTCCTTCCTTTCTTTCCCCCCACCTTCCCATCCCTACCCCTTCCCCCACAGACAGGGGGCTCGTGTTCGCCTATGCTGAACTAGCATTCAGCACCACCCTCGTTGCTGTCTACTGGGGCTCCTTCATCCTGCAGTCTATCATCTCCGCCACATCACCCAACCCCTCCCCCAATTCCCCACTTCCCCTCCACCTTCCAACCCTTCCCCCTTCCCCCACAGACAGGAGGGCTCGTGTTCGCCTATGCGGAGCTCGCATTCAGCGCCACCCTCGTGGTTGGCTACTGGGGCTACTTCCTCCTGCACCCCTCCGTCAGGGTTCTGAATGGCTCTCAGGGCGGAGAGGGCGAGAAGGAGGTGGGGCATGAAGGGGAGAAGCACAAGCAGGGAGAGGAAGGAGAAGCAGAAAAAGAGGGAGAGGGAGAGGTAGGGGGAGGGGGGGAAGGGCTGAGGAGACGAGCGGTTGGAGGGCAAGGAAAGGATGGGGACGATAAGGGGGAGCAGAGGAAAGCGGAGGCGAAGGGAAGAGGGGATGGAAGGAGAGACAGTGACGGCAAAGGACGCAATGCTGTGATTCCGTTGCTCCCGTGCAAGTAAGCGTCTGGGAGCAAGGCATGTATGTTAGTTAGTAGTGCACCTACAAGAGCCTGTGCCTGGTGTTCTTGTCACCAAGTCATGCCACCTGTCCCATGCCCCATGCCTGTCCCATGTCCCATGCCTGTCCCATGCCCCATGCCTGTCCCATGCCCCATGCCTGTCCCATGCCTCATGCCTGTCACATGCCTTCTGTTCCCCCCCACCTCACATCCCTAAACGCCCAGACGACTCCGCTTCAAACCCCAACCCTGAACCCCACCCTTTATAAACCCAGGGTCCCTGGCTACCCGCTACTGCACTGGCTGCTGCTTCAGCTGTGTGGGGCGTTCTCCCTGCAGCCCGTGGTGAAGCAGGTGCTGGGGAAGGGCGACGAGATGGTGCTCGTGGCTTATGGACCCATCCCTCATTCCCCTCCCCCTCGCCACCCCTCTTTAACCATCCCTCCCCTCTCCTCTTTCCGGCCCGGCCTTCCCCCCTCCTCGCCCTCCCGCCCGTCTCCCCTTCCCCCTCCAAACCCCAACCCTGAACCCCACCCTTTAAACCCAGGGTCCCTGACCACCCGCTGCTGCACTGGCCACTGCTGCGGTTGTGTGGGGCGTTCTCCCTGCAGGCCGTGGTGAAGCAGGTGCTGGGGAAGGGCGACGAGATGGTGCTTGTGGCGCTGGAAACCGCGTACAACCAGGGGGTCTATGGACTCGTGGTCAAGCTGGGTGCGTTTTACACATACTGTGCCAAGTGGGCTGCGTGTTTGGGATGCTGGGGGAGCATGGGCTGCTGGGTGCTTTGGGCGCTCGTGGCGCTGGAAACCACGTACAACCAGGGAGTCTATAGGCTCGTGGTCAAGCTGGGTGCGTGGTTGGTGGGTGGTTGGTGGGTGGTTGGCGGGTGGGAGGTGGGTGGGAAGTGGGTGGGTGGCTGGGCATGGGATGCATGAATCCTTCACTTCGCCCAAGCAAACAGGCTCTTTGTCAAGCTGGGTGTGGGCTGTGCTGTGGGTACGTGGGTTGCTGGTAGGGTGGTCGCTGGTTGCGTAGACTGAAACGGGTGGTATATAGTCCTAAGTACTAAGTACCTATTTTTTAAGTACCCGAGGCAGTCGTGTGCTTCCCACTCAGACTGACCAATATCATGCGACACCTTACCATACCAACCATGTCATCCCATTGCCACCGCCTCCTCCTCTCATCCATTGCCACATCACCATGCCACACCATGCCGTACCATGCCACACCATGCTGCGCCATGCCGCACCATGCCACACCATGCCACACCATGCCATGGCAGGCAGTCTTGTGGTCCGGTCCGTCCTGCAGCCGTTCGAGGAGAGTGCATTCATCATATTCGCCCGCACCGCTCCGTCCCTTGCAGCTTCTGCCGGTGCTGGTGGTGGTGGTGAGTAGTGCTTCTATTGACGCATTGCTTTGACTTGTGCTGTACCTTCCCCGTTTAAAGAAGTGCGTTCCTAATATTCGTCCACACTGCTCCCTCCCTTGCTTCTGCTGATGCATTGATTTGCTTTTCGCACCTCTGCGGGGTATGATCTACCTTTAGTGCTGCCATAATGATCAAACTCGCACGAGAGCCCCTTTCAACTATACCCCTCACCACCAGCCCCAAACCAACCCCAACCCCAACTCCAACCGCCCCAAATGATTGTCTTCCAGATTCCTGATACCCCTTCCCACCCGCTACCCTACCTGCTCCACTCCTCCCTCACGACCCCCCTCCTTCACGCCCCCCCTCCTTCACCTCTCCGCTCCTCCTTTGGCTCTTCCCAGGCGGTGATGCCAAGGCAGGGCGTGAGTCGGTGGCCCGGGTGCTGCTGCTGGCAGTGAAGGCAGTGAATCTGCTGGGTGAGTTGGTGCTGACTTGCCACACGGCTCAAGGCGCTTGCTGGGTGGGTTCTGGCTTGACCTGTGTCAAGACTCTAGAGGCGCCTCAGATCATGTGAGTCGGTTTGGTGCGAGTGCTTCTACTGGCTGGGTGAGTTGGTGCTGTCACGCGCCTCTCAAGGCCCTTGCTGGGTGGGTTCTGGATTCAGCTGTGCCTAGAGGCGCCTCAGGCCACGTGAGTCGGTGGCACGGGGGCTTCTACTGGCAGTGAAGGCAGTGAATCTGCTGGGGGTGAGAGGATTGTATTCACACGGCTTAAAGTATTTGCTGGTTGAATTCTGTTTGAACCAGAATTGTGTCTGAATGCGCCTCATACACTGTCTGTTGATTCCTCAATCTGCCTTGGACGAAGAACCATGCCCCTATTGCTGGGCTGCTATTGGCGGCGGGGTAGCTCGAATGCTGGGCTGCTATTGGCGGTCAAGTCACTGAATCTTCCGGGTGGATCTCCAGCCTTTTCCAGCTGTGGAGAGATCCACAGCTCAGTTCGTTGTTCATTTCTTTTGGCACTTCATTTATGACTGCTCTGTTCTGGCTGTCATTTTCTAGCTCCCTCTCTCGTTCTGTCGCCATCGTTCTCTGCCCTGCGCATCCCACCCGCTCCCTTGTCCCACATTGCAGGAGTCCAGTTTTGAGGCGCCTCAAAACTTCCCTGCGCATCTCACTCCCTTGTCCCCTATTCCGCCCCCCCTTCTCTCTCTCGCTTCCCATCGTCCCTCCGTCCCCTCGTCCCCTCGTCCCCTCGTCCCCTCGTCCCCTCGTCCCCTCGTCTCCTCTTCCTCTTTCCTCCCCGCTCACCACCCTCCCCCCTGGTCCAAACATCCCCGTCCTCTCCTCTCCTCTCTCCTCTCCTCTCCTCTCCTCTCCTCTCCTCCCCTGTCCTTCCATCTCCCTGGCCTCGTGTTTGTGGCGTTTGGGCCGCCCTTCTCCTTCTCGCTACTCGCGCTGCTCTACGGCCCCTTTTGGACAGCCACTGAGCCGCTGCTAGCTACTGCCCTCGCCTGCTACTGCACTACGAGCTTCTGAGGCGCCAACTTCTCCTCGTTCTCAAATACTTTCCCTCCTCCTCACGACTCGGTCGTTCCTTCACTCTCCTCCCCTTTTCGCTCTCCCCCTTTTAACCCTCCTCTCCTTCCGTCTCCCAGGCCTGGTCTTTGTGGCGTTTGGGCCGCCCTTCGCCTTCTCGCTACTCGCGCTGCTCTACGGCCCCGCCTGGACCGCCACTGAGGCGCCGCTCGCCCTCGCCTGCTACTGCCCCTACATCATGGCTCTCGCACTCAACGGTGGGATAGGGGGGAGGGGAGGGAGGGAGAGGGGGAGTGGGGGTGGGGGGGTGCGGGGAAAAAGAAAAAGTGAGAAGACACATCTCGCCCTCGCCTGCTACTGCCCCTACATCATGGATCTCGCACTCAACGGTGGGAAAGGGGGGAGGGGAGGGAGGGGGGAAGGGGGGGAAAGAGAGGAAGGACAGAGGAGGGGAAGGGCGGAGAAGAGGAAGGGCGGAGCCTTATAGAAGTAGTTGGAAGACACATCTCTCCCTCCGTTCCTCCCTCGCCTGCTACTGCCCCTACATTATGGTGCTCCCACACAACGGTTGGTGAGAGGAAATGGGTACTCATCCCTAGATGGATGGAAATAAGGCCTCTGCACTGCAGCGCACCTGTATTCCTTTTACGACTCAACGGTTGGTGAGAGGGAATGGGTACTCATCCCTAGATTGACAGCCGTTTGAGTAGAAATAAACCTTCCTTCCCTCCCTCCCCCCTCTCCCCCCCCTTCCCCCTCCCCTTTCACTCTCTATTGCAAGCACTCCACCCGCCTTAGTGCAAGAGGTGCATGGTTGGTGAGAGCCAACTGAGAGGCAACTGAGAGACACAGTTTTGGATGGCTCAAACCCCACTTCCCTTCAGCCAACTCCCGCCCGCCTTCCCCTCCCCTCCCCCCACCATGCAGGCACGACAGAGGCCTTTGTGCACGCAGTGCTGAGTGAGAGGCAAGTAGGCCAATAAAGGAAGACAGCTTTTGGGCGACACAAACCCCTCATTCCCTACTCCCAATCTCCCCTCGCTCTTTTCCACAGCCACGACGGATTCCTTGGTGCACGCAGTGCTGAGTGAGTGGCAACTGGCGCAGTCCAACGGGCGGCTGGCCAATAAGGAGAGACAACTTCCGTGATTGCCTCAAACTCCTCAACAAATCGAGGGAGTGAAAATTTAGGATGTGTTATGTTTTTGGGAGTTCACAAAATCAGAACGCTTCCTTAATTGCCTCAAACCCCTCCTGCTCCCAGTTGGCCACCCCATTCCCTTGTCTCTCTCTCCCCCCCACACGCAGGCACGACGGAGTCCTTTGTGCACGCGGTGCTGAGTGAGTTCCAGCTGGAGCAGTCCAACGGGTGGCTGGCCAATAAAGAGAGACAACTTCCTTGCCCTGTCCTCCCCCCCCTCCCATGCAGGCACCACGGAGGCCTTTGTGCACGCGGTGCTGAGTGAGCGCCAGCTGGCGCAGTCCAACGGGTGGCTGGTGCTCTTCTCGTTGCTGCACATGGCGCTCAGCGCGCTGCTCATCCGTGCGGCCTCGTCCCCGGGACTCATTCTCGCCAACTGCTTCAGTATGTGGCTTGGGGATGTGTGCGTGTGTGTGCCTGTCATTCTGTGCTTGTGTTTGTGTGTGTGTTTCCGCTTGAAGAGAGTGTGGGTGAGAGCATGAGTGAATGAGAGACAGTGAATGAGTGGGAGAGGGTGGGAGACGGTGGGAGAGGGTGGGAGACGGTGGGAGAGGGTGGGAGAGGGTGGGAGAGGGTGGGATCACCACAGTCCAACAGGTGGCTGGTGCTCTTCTCGCTGCTGCACATGGCGCTCAGTGCGCTGCTCATTCGATGGGCCTTTCCCTGGGGACTCATTCTCCCCAACTGCTGCAGTGGGTGGCGCCCAGTTGGGCTGCATGAGGAAGTGGGCGGTAGAAGATTTGTTTTGAGACGTCTCAAAACATATCTTCTAGCTCATCCGATGGGCCTCTCTCCCGGGATGCATTCTCCCCAACTGCTGCAGTGGGTGGCGCCCGGTTGGGGCTGCATGAGGGAGTGGGCGGGGAGGGGAGTGATGGAGAAGTGAATGAGAGTCTCTCACTGAGTGAGGGAGGTGAGTTGCTGAGAGTTGGGATTGAGTTGCTGAGAGTTGGGATTGAGTTGCTGAGAGTTGGGATTGAGTTGCTGAGAGTCCGGTGGCCTTCCCCGTTTTCTGCTGAGGCAGTCCGAATCTGGCACTCTTTTTTCCTTTGCTTCTGCAAGCTGCCACAAGAGTGACCTCCCCGCTCTCTCCCCCCTCTGCTCCCTCTTCAGTGTACCTCCCCGCACTCTCCCCCCTTCCTCCTCCCCTGCTTGTCCTACAGACATGGCAATGAGAATCGCATACTCTGCCACCTTCATCCATCAGTACTTCAAGGTGCGCTTCGCCACTCCTCTCATGCGCACTCAATGAACACTCACTCAATGAACACTCACTCAATGAACACTCACTCAATGAACACTCACTCAATGAATACTCGCTCAATGAATACTCGCTCAATGAATACTCGCTCAATGAATACTCGCTCAATGAATACTCGCTCAATGAACACTCGCTCAATGAACACTCGCTCAATGAACACTCACTCAATGAACACTCACTCAATGAACACTCACTCAATGAACACTCACTCAATGAACACTCACTCAATGAACACTCACTCAATGAACACTCACTCAATGAACACTCACTCAGTGAACACTCACTCAATGAACACTCACTCAATGAACACTCACTCAATGAACACTCACTCAATGAACACTCACTCAATGAACACTCACTCACCTCCTACTCTCCATCCTTCACACTCCTCTTTTCCTTTCTTCCGCTCACTCTTCTCCTTTTGTTCTGCCGGTTTCCCCTCATGCATTCAACCATAGTAACACCTTCCTCCCTGCCTCCCTCCGTGCTTCCTCCCCCACACCTTCCTCCCCACCCCACCCCCCACCATCCCTCCCTCCCTCCAGGCGACCCCCAACTTCTCTCTCCTGGGCTCTCTGCCATCCGTCCCAGTCCTTGCATCCTTCGCAGCAGCCTCCCTCGTCTCCTTTACCTCCCAGCACCTCCTCCTCTTCCGAGGAACCTACCTCTCCCCCGTCTCCCCACCCTCCCCGCTCTCCCCCGCCTCTCTCGCGCACATTGCTGTTGGCGCGCTGTGCTTCGTTGGTGTCATGGGCGCGTTGTGAGTTCAAAGGAAATTAAATGAAGGGGGAGGAGGGGGGAGATGTGTGTGTGTGGGGAGACGGGACTTGATAACATTGCTGCTTTTGAGGCGCCTAAAAAATTAAATGAAGGGAGAGGGGGGGAGATGTGTGTGTGTATAGGGAGAGGGGACTTGATAACATTGCTGCTGCCGCACTGCGTTTGGTTGGTGTTATGGGTGGCCTGTGAGTTCAACAGGTGGCGGGGGGGGAGGGGATGGGGAGGGGGAGACCGTGACAACCTTGCTGTTGGTGACCTGTGTTGTTGGTGTTGTTCGCGCTCTCGTCGTTCCCCTTGACCCGACCTCCCTTCTTCCCACCACCCTCGTCCACCGCTCCCCGTGCCCCTCTCACTCTCGAATCTGCTTTTGAGTCAACTCAGAAGCAACCTCCCTTCTTCCCACCACCCTCGTCCACCGCTCCCCGTGTCTCCCTCTCACTCTCGAATCTGCTTTTGAGTCAACTCAGAAGCAACCTCCCTTCTTCCCACCACCCTCGTCCACCGCTCCCCGTGTCTCCCTCTCACTCTCGAATCTGCTTTTGAGTCAACTCAGAAGCAACCTCCCTTCTTCCCACCACCCTCGTCCACCGCTCCCCGTGTCTCCCTCTCACTCTCGAATCTGCTTTTGAGTCAACTCAGAAGCAACCTCCCTTCTTCCCACCACCCTCGTCCACCGCTCCCCGTGTCTCCCTCTCACTCTCGAATCTGCTTTTGAGTCAACTCAGAAGCAACCTCTTTTCTTCCCACCACCCTCGTCCACTGCTCCCCATGCCCCTCTCACTCTCGAATCTCCATCATCTCTTTCACCGGACATGATTAGCAGATTCAGATTCATGCCGGGGTAGCTTCCACCTTTCGTGATTTCTCCTTTCCCCCTTCTCTCCATCCCTCTCTTCTCTTCTCTCCCCCTCTCCCTCTCCCTCCCAGGTGGTGCTGGAAGAAACCCTTCCTTGCGGAGCTCAAGGCAAATCACTTCTACTTCCAAACCCCATCCTCCACAAACTCCAGCCCTCCTCTCCCTCTACTCCCCCGTCTCCCCGCTCCCTCTCCCCCCAGGTCGTGCTGCAATTTTTGAGGCACCTCAAAACTGATACTATTTTTTAGGTGCCTCAAAACTGAGACTATTTTTTAGGCGCCTAAAAAATATCCCCGTCTCCCCACTTCCTCTCCCCGCATGTGGTGCTGCAAGAGATCGTTCTTTGCTTTGCTCAAGGACAGCCGCCTTCCCTTTCAAATTCTATGCTCAAGGACAGCCGCCTTCCCTTTCAAATTCTATGCTCAAGGACAGCCGCCTTCCCTTTCAAATTCTATGCTCAAGGACAGCCGCCTTCCCTTTCAAATTCTATGCTCAAGGACAGCCGCCTTCCCTTTCAAATTCTATGCTCAAGGACAGCCGCCTTCCCTTTCAAATTCTATGCTCAAGGACAGCCACCTGTCTCATGCGCCTCTCTATTCCCGCTTCCTCCCCTTCCCCCCCCCCCCTCCCCAGGTGGCGGTGGGAGAGGCCGTTTTTCGCAGAGCTGAAGGCCACGCTGAGATCGGCCAAGGAGAGCAAGCAGGAGTGAAGGGATAGCATAGCATCTCATGGTAGACCTTGTTTGCGTACCGAAGGGTGTTTTTTATATTTTTCGAAAACACCCTGCATGGCATCTCATGGTAAACACTCTCTGCGTTTCGAAGCGTGGAGGAAGGAGAGCACTGCTGTTCGAATGAACGGGACGTGAAGGGGACACGAACAGGACGAAGCTATAGCATGACGTGATGTCTCTAGCCCACAAACCTGCAATGCTGCAGTCATGCAGGCGTCATGGGGTGCTAGGAAGGAAAGGCCTGCCTGTAACCGTCCAATAATGGCATGTTGTTTGCCCGGGGCATGACCTCTGAGTGCAGCCAGTAGCTCTAGGCTACGCACAAGTGCAGCAACAAATAAAGTGATGTGAAGTGCGGTAGCTGTCGAAACAGGAGCAATTTGCACAAGGGCAGTTTTGAAAATGGCAAAATCAACAGGGCTGGTATTATCAGAGGAGCAAAAATTGCACCACTAAATCCTCTTCGGCTGGGCACTTGATTGGGGCCCTTCCCATCCCAGCACCATGCAGTGCACTTTTTGAGGCGCCTCAAAAACCATGCAGTGCACTTGAATTAGCCATGGCCCACAGGCTCCTTGCACAACTGGAAACAGAGCTCGCTTCCAAGACGCAATTATGGAAGCATGAGTCGGGAGGGATGAGTCTCCTTCTCACCCTTGGCTCAGCCACAGCGGCCTGAGCTAGAGCTGTCAGCAGGAGACGTATGAGGTAGGTACCCCGTGTCCTTTGGGGGGTCGTCTCCTCTGAGACAGCCACCTTTGACGTCGTTGAACAGCACCCACTTGCCATCCCAGCAACCCCCCTTTCGAACACACGCATCCCTTGCTTGCTTCTGCCAGAGCTGCTTTAGCTGGAGGGCTCTACAGGCGCAGAGCAGCGGCGGAAGAAGTAGAGGTACCCCATGTCCTTCGGGGGGTCCTCTGAGATAGCCACCTTGGCGTCGTTGAAGAGCACCCACTTGCCCTCGGGCCCCTTGCGAATGTGCGCCACGTAGTGCCCGCACTGCGTGTTGGCGCCCATGTGGCTCACAAACGCGAACAGCTCGTACGCTGGTTGGGGGGGGGAGGGCAAGAGTGGAATGACAGCACCGGAAGAATGACGGGGGGGTGGGGGTGGTATGACAGGGGGGAGCAGGGGCGGGGGGGCGGGTGGGGCGGCGGGTATGGAGAAGGTGCTCCACGTAGAGCCCGCACTGCGTGGTGGCGCCCATGTGGCTCACAAACGCAGACAGCCCGAAGGCTGGTTCAGGGGGGTGGGGTGAAGGCGGAAGGACAAGAAGGGAATGGTGGGGAAGATTTGGCGCGCCAGCTGGAGTCTATTTTTTAGGCGCCTCAAAGATTTGGCGCGCCAGCTGGAGTCTATTTTTGAGGCGCCTCAAAGATTTGGCCCGCCAGCTGGACGGGGGGAGCAGAGAGGGAAGGAGAGAGTGAGCAAAGGAAGGAAAATCTGCAGAAAGCTGTGTCTCACTCCCAGGTGATAATCGTTCAGTTTTGAAAATGTTCCAAAACTAAGCTATCATCCCAAGCCGTGACTTACTTCCAGGCCCATCAGACACTTTTTTTGAGGCGCCTCAAAATCAGATACTTTTTTTTAGGCGCCTCAAAAAACGTCCCAAGCCATGGCTTACTTCCAGGCCCATCAGACACTTTGGATGTCAGGTCAACTGGTGCCGCCGCTGCTGCGTCTCCTGAAGGCTGGACATCCATCGGGGTAGGTGCAGCAGCAGCGGCAGCAGCAGCAGCAGGGGGGGCTTCGGCTTCTGCTGGGTTGTTCAGGATCCAATCCGCCGCCCTCTCAACGTCCCCTCCCTGCGTTGGAAAAGGAAAGGGCATAGAAGCAGGGAGTTTTCTTGATGCCAACTCGTGTGATGATTCAGACGACCAAGCGCTTGTCTTGCAGTGGCAATGAGATGGGGTTGCAAGCGGCAGTTTCAGGAAGAATGCACGTGGAAGGACCTTGTTAGTCGGAACGAAGGTGAAGGAAGGAAGGCACGAGTGAGTGCGGTAGACTCACAGTGGCGGTGAGTGCGTTGGACTCACAGTGGCGGTGAGTGCGTTGCGAGCAGCGGTGTCGGAGAAGCCAAACGACATGAGCGTGCCTAGAGCCACCTCGTCCACTGCTGCTGGGGCTGGTGCTGCGGATGGGGCACCTGGTGGGGGTAGTGGATCGTCAATGTCTGCAAGGAGAGAGTAGGGTGCGGGAGGGAAGAGTGGGGGGGGTGGGAAGGGTGGAGAGGGTGGGGAGGGTGGGGAGGGTGGGGAGGGTGGGGAGGGTGGGGAGGGTGGGGAGGGTGGGGAGGGTGGGGAGGGAGGTTAATGAGAATTCTCAGAAAATTATCATCACCTCCTGGTGGAGGTAGTGGATCGTCAATGTCTGCAAGGAGAGAGTAGGGTGCGGGAGGGGAAGGAGGGGAGGGTGGGGAGGGTGAAGAGGGTGGGGAGGGAGGGTGGGGAAAAGGAGGGTGGGGAGGGAGGGTGGGGAGGGAGGGAGGGAGGGGGAGGAAACGGGCAGTCATCGATCCAGTTGGCCTCCTCCTCAGCGCCCACATTCCACAGCCTGCCATGGAGCTGCCTCAAAAAACAAAATCAGACCCACTAAGGGGCTAAACGAACGAAATGTTCCGAGTAGAAGCCACCACCACACCCTACCAGCTTCCACCCTACCAGCTTCCGCCCAACCAGCTTCCGCCCAACCAGCTTCCGCCCAACCAGCTTCCACCCTACCAGCTTCCGCCCAACCATCTTCCACCCAACCAGCTTCCGCCCAACCAGCTTCCGCCCTACCAGCTTCCACCCAACCAGCTTCCACCCTACCAGCGTCTTCCATAAGCTCGAAGATCCAGTTGGCCGCCGCCTCCTCCACGCGCGCAGGCGCCCAGAAAAAACAGTTCTCATCTCAACAGCATGCATGCACGCATGCATGCGTGCACCCATCATACCAGCGTCGTCCATGTGCTCGAAGATCCAGTTGGCCGCCTCCTCCACACCCGCGTTCCCTGTGAGCACCGCGGCCTTCTCACAGCGCACGCGTGGGAACCCCATGCTCTCCAGCGACGCCACCACCACCTCGTCCGCCTGCAGCACCGCTGGGCCCGAGGAGGGTGGTGGTGCTGCTGCTTCTGCCTGGTTAGCGTCTGGTGATCGGAGGAGTGTGAAGGCGGATGGGGGATGTATGGGAGCGGGGACAGGGTGGGGGGAGAGAAAGGGGAGGATTACAAGTTATGGGTATGAGAGGCACGGGGGAGCAGCATTTCCCGTGTGCACATCGGCCTTCCCACAGCGCACGCGCGGGAACCCCATGCTCTCCAGCGACGCCACCACCACCTCGACCGCCTGCAGGACCGCTAAGCCCGGCGCTCCTTCCCCAGGTGCTCCTGCTGCTGCTTCTGACTGGTTAGCATCTGATTGGCAGGTGACGGGAGGGGGAACGGAGAAGGGGGGAATGGAGGGACGAACCCCATACTCTCCAGGCGACGCCACCACCGCCTCGTCCGCCTGAGGAGGTGGGGAGAGGGGTGGGGGGGCCGGATGGAGGGACGAACCCCATACTCTCCAGGCGACGCCACCGTCGCCTCGTCTGCCTGCAGGACCGCTGGGCCTGAAGACAGTGCTGCCTGCCGCTGCTTCTGCCTGGCGAGCCTCTGGTGGTGGAGGGTGAGTGGAGGGCGAGGGGAGGGGGGAAGGAGGTAAGTGAGATCCCAAGGATCGTCACTAAGTGGAGGGTGATTGGAGGGCGAGGGGAGGGGGGAAGGAGAGGGAGGGATGGAGGGAGAAACCCCGTGCTCTACAAAGACGCCACCACCGCCTTGTCCGGCACCAGCACTGCTGGGCCCGAAGAGGGCGGTTCATCTGCTGCTGCTGCCTGATTTGCGTCTGATGGGGGGTGAGGGGCGGGGGGGAGGAGAGGAGAAGGAGAGGGAAAAGGAGAGGGGAAAGGAGAGGGGAAAGGAGAGGGGAAAGGAGAGGGGAAAGGAGAGGGGAAAGGAGAGGAGAAAGGAGAGGAGAAAGAGAGGCGGGGAATGAAGGGAGGAACCCCAAGCTCTCCAGTGACGCCCCGACCATCTCGTCCGCCCCCAGCATGCTTTTGAGTCGACTCAAAAGCAGCCTCGTCCGCCCCCAGCACTGGTGGGCCAGACAAAGGTGCCGCTGCTACTGCTGCTTCTTCGGCCTTCTTAGTGTGTGGTTGATCGGAGGAGTGTGAGGGAGAACTGGAGAAGTACGGGAGTGGGAACGACGGGTTGGGGGGAGTGGGCGAGGGAAGGGGGAGAAGACAAATAGTACGGGGGGAAGGAAGGAAGCAGCATTTCCTGTGCATCTCACTCCCCAAGAACCCTCTCCCTCTCCCAAAACCCTCACTCTCTCTCTTTGACTCTGTCTCTTCCCTTCCACGCCCCCCTAAACCTAAACCCCCTCCCCCCCCTTCCCCTCCCTCAACACCCCCCACCCCCCCTCCCCCCCCCTCCTCTTTCCTCCCACTTTCGGTGTGCACCCACCTTCCGGCAGCACCTGTTCCCCTGGCTGCAGCCCCTTGCCCCGCAGGTGAGAGAGGTCCAACCGATCAGGCACGTCTAGGAAGACGTCTGGGCGTGTGAGAATGCAAGGGGGGGGGGGGGAGAGGAGGGAGTGGGGGTTAGGGAGGAGGGAGCGAGATGGACAAAGGAGGAGTGTGGTCAGAGAGGTCCAAGCGATCTGGCACCTCGAGGAAGACGTCTGGGCGTGTGGGAAGTTTTGGGGGGTGGGGGGGGGAGTGGGGGGGGGAGTGGGGGGGGAAGGGGGGAGGGAAGGGGGGAATGGCGGGAAGGAGGGAGGGGGATGGGTAATGGAGGAGAGTGGTGAGAAAGATCCAAGTTCCAACCAATCAGGCAAGTCTAGGAAGACATCCGCACGTGTGGAAAGTGGGGGGTGGAGGGAGGGACGGAGAGGAGGGGGAGTGATAGGCATGTGCAGGAGAGGAGAGAGTGGGACGAGTGCAAGGACAAGAAGACACACACCACAGGGGAGGAAAGATGCAGATACGAGAAGCGAGAAGCGAGAAGCAAGAAGCAAGAAGCGAGAAGCGCAGCAGCAGTAAGGTATCTGAGTGCATGCGAGTTTCACCCACCAAGCTTTCTAGGCACCCACGTGCCAGACTCGAGCACATACTTTCGCATCTGCACCACCAGCACATCCGGGAATGACGCAAAGCGAGTGGTCCTGGCGCAATGCAGGGGGGGAGAAGGGGGGGAGGAGGGAGGGAGGAGGGAGAGGTGGGGGGGAAGAGGGAGGAGGAGGGAGGAGGGAGGGAGGAGGGAGAGGGGGGGGGGAAGAGGGAGGGAGGAGGGAGGAGGGAGCAAGTTAACAGGTGTAAGGCCTGCTAGAAACGAGAAGCGAGGGAGAGTCGAGGGTGCAAAACAGTGACTGGCTGTGAGCAATGGTCTGTGTGAGACACAAAGGAGCGCCTGTGTGACACAAAGAGCGCCTGTGTGACACAAAGGAGCGCCTGTGTGACACGAAGGAGCGCCTTTGTGACACAAAGGAGCACCTGTGTGACACAAAGGAGCGCCTGTGTGACACAAAGGAGCGCCTGTGTGACACAAAGGAGCGCCTGTGTGACACAAAGGAGCGCCTGTGTGACACAAAGGAGCGCCTGTGTGACACAAAGGAGCGCCTGTGTGACACAAAGGAGCGCCTGTGTGACACAAAGGAGCGCCTGGGTGACACAAAGGAGCGCCTGTGTGACACAAAGGAGCGCCTGTGTGACACAAAGAGCGCCTGTGAGACACAAAGAGCGCCTGTGTGACACAAAGGCGCGCCTGTGTGACCCGAAGAGCGCGTGTGAGACACAAAGGAGCGCCTGTGTGACACAAAGGAGCGCCTGTGTGACACAAAGGAGCGCCTGGGTGACACAAAGGAGCGCCTGTGTGACACAAAGGAGCACCTGTGTGACACAAAGAGCGCCTGTGAGACACAAAGAGCGCCTGTGTGACACAAAGGAGCGCCTGTGTGACCCAAAGAGCGCCTGTGTGACACAAAGAGCGCCTGTGTGACACAAGGGAGCGCCTGTGTGACACAAAGGAGCGCCTGTGTGACACAAAGGAGCGCCTGTGTGACACAAAGGAGCGCCTGTGTGACACAAAGAGCGCCTGTGAGACACAAAGAGCGCCTGTGTGACACAAAGAGCGCCTGTGTGACACAAAGAGCGCCTGTGTGACACAAAGAGCGCCTGTGAGACACAAAGAGCGCCTGTGAGACACAAAGAGCGCCTCTGTGACACAAAAAGCGCCTGTGTGACACAAAGAGCGCCTGTGAGACACAAAGAGCGCCTGTGTGACAGAAAGGAGCGCCTGTGTGATTGTTGTGCAGATGGAGAACGGAGCATATCACTTAGCTGTGATTCTGCAAACGCTTACTTGAGTGCTGTGGTGTGGCCGTTGATAGCTGTGCTAAAGAACCCCGGAATGGTCTCTTGCGCGGCGAAGCGGTCAATGCAGGCAGAGAGGGGCACGCGTGGGCGAACCACCTCCTCATTCGCCCTGGTGAGTCGAGCGGCAGGCGGGGCAGGGGAGGGGATGGTGAGGAGGTGGACGATGCAGGTAAGTTAAGCGCTGACACAGGCAGAGAGGGGCACGCGCAGGCGAACCACCTCCTCATTCCCCCTGGTGAGGCGAGCGGCAGGCGGGGCAGGGGATGGGATGGTGAGGGTAAGTTAAGCTCTGATGCAGAAAAAGAGAGGGATGCGCAGGCGATCCACCTCCTCGTTCGCCCTGGTGAAAGGAAGGGGGGGAGGGACGGGGAGCGGAAGGGGGAGAGGAAGCGGGAGAGGAAAGAAATCCGTGTCTCTGGAGTTAGGGGGAGTAATGCCAACAGAGAGGGGCGCCTGCAGACGAACCACCTCCTCATCCCCCCTAGTTAGACGGGCGGAAGGGGGAGGAGGGGTGAACGAAAACGATGCTGTAGAGAGTGGTGGAGGACCAAGTGAAAGGAGGAAGTGTGAGTGAGTGTGTAGTAGATGGGGGAGTGGTGAACCAAGGAATGGGAAAGTAGAGAGTCGTAGATGAATCACAGCATGGCCGTACATTTTCTCTCCTCGGCTCTCCCGTTCCTTCTTCAACACCTCAAATGCTGCCACTTGATCTGCCACATCATGCACACGACAGAAGGAGAACAGGGAAGGGGAACAGGGAAGGGGAACAGGGAAGGGGAACAGGGAAGGGGAACAGGGAAGGGGAACCAGGGAAGGGGAACAGGGAAGGGGAACAGGGAAGGGGAACAGGGAAGGGGAACAGGGAAGGGGAACAGGGAAGGGGAACAGGGAAGGGGAACAGGGAAGGGGAACAGGGAAGGGGAACAGGGAAGGGGAACAGGGAAGGGGAACAGGGAAGGGGAACAGGGAAGGGGAACAGGGAAGGGGAACAGGGAAGGGGAACAGGGAAGGGGAACAGGGAAGGGGAACCAGGGAAGGGGAACAGGGAAGGGGAACAGGGAAGGGGAACAGGGAAGGGAACCGGGAAAGCAAACAGGGGCGGAAACAGGGAAAGAAACACAGACAGCGGTCAGGAAACAATCAGCAAGAAGAGTTAGCTTTTTTAGAATTCTCAAAGAAGAAGAAAAAAACCACAATGTCTCTTATCTCTCAAAATAATGAATGATATAAGTGGTGCGGGAAGTGGTGCGGACAACAGCAGAGGGGAGAAGCGAGGGAGCGATGAGGGACCAGCGGGAAGAAAAGAAGACAACCAAGGTTGGTGCAAGTCACTGACGTCTCACGAGCACTGCAAGAATTTCAAAAACCAGCAAGAAAGGCAAGACAACCAACCAACCAACCAGCGCCTGCACAATAAGTAGGGTCGAAAAGACACTCAACCCAGTGTCTTCCCCTCAGGAAAAGCGGAACAATGAACCTTGCACCTTCTGAGTCGACTCAACAGCAGGACAACGGACTTTGAGGCGCCTTGGCAGAACGTGTTTAAGTCGAACCTTTGTTGGTGGCAGCATCAAGGGGAATGGGGAGCGACCAGACGTTGTCAGGCCGTTGGGTGTATTTCACCTGCTGCGACGCCCCACACTCTATCCTATCCTCCACCACATACTCCACACTCCGCCACGCACTCACCCCCTCCCCCCCTCCCCCCCTGCCTCCGTCAACCCCTGCCTCTGCGCCTGCCGCTCCCCCTCGTGACCCTTCTTGTAACGCCGCAGCTGCTGCTGCTGGCGGTGGGGGCAGTTTCTGAATCTGCTCCAGAAGGTACTGGTAGAACTCAAGGGCGTCCTGGAGAAGGGGGAAAGGGCGCGAGGGAAGGAGGAAATAGCAGGTGCTGTTTTTGTGGGTGCTCATCAGTGTAAAGCCACTGCTGCTGCTGGCGGTGGGGGCAGCTTTTGAATCTGCTCCAGAAGGTACTGGTATGCACGGGGGCAACACCTGCCCTATATAATTCCCCTCTGTTCGTTGCTGCATTTCAACCCGCACCGCACCTGCTGTCTGGAGGTGGAGAACTCCACGTGCCCCTTGCCAATCACGCTCTTGAACATGCGCGGGGGAATGCCCGCTTGGTACAGCTCCTTCTCCTGCTCCTTCTCCTTCTCCTTCTCCTTTCCCGTGCTGCTGCCTGCTGCCTCCCCTGCTCCCCCTGGCTCGTTTACTGGGTGCGAGTACTCCCCGGATAGCAAGCCGTGTGCTAGCTTCACTCTAGCAGAGGGGAGGAAAAGGAAACGAAGAGGGAAGACAGGGGGTGGAGGGGGTGGAGGAGGGAGATAGCTGGAATTGTCATGGGATGGACTCGAGGTGTTACGACTACTCCCCGGACAGCAAGATATGAGCTAACTTCACTCTAGCAGAGGGGAGTCGGGTAGGGGGGGAAGCGGGAGGGCAAGAGGGGGGGAAGAGGGGGGAGTGGGGTGGGGGTTAAGGGAGAGGGCTGGAGGGGGGGGGGGGACAAGCGTGTCCTTGATTTTGCAGGGTATTTTTGGGAATTCTCAAAAACACCCTGCAAAATCAGGGAGTGGGGTGGGGTTTAAGGGAGAGGGTTGGAGAGGGGGGCCAAGCATGTATACTTCTAAGCATACGTCTCAAAACGCCTTGTGCGAGCAGCTCCCTGTTCCAGTCAATGCGTTCTTGTCAACGAATGCTGTAGATAACTCAAAAGCAGTCAATACTCCAACTTGAAAAAACAGAGAAATGGAGCTATCTCTCTCTCAAGCGGCCCGTGTATTACTGAAACCTGGGTACAACCAAGCCAAGCAATATTTTTGAGGCGCCTAAAAAATGTACAACCGAGCCAAGCAAGGTGAGTCGTATCGAAAACAGTACCGCAGATCAGTCAACACACACACGGGAATGGAAACTACAAATGTGTTTTACACGTCTGAAAAAACAAACAAAACAAAACACGGGAGACCTACGATGAAAGGAAACTGAAGGGCAGTCAAGGGGGTGGAGATTGAGGGAGGGTGCAAATTACATCTGAGTGGCGAAGTCAGTTGTAGGGTCAGAGGGCGCCTTGGCAAACGCCTGCTCCAACGACACCCGATCGTAGAAACTGAAATAACGGTTGGTGGGGGGGGAGGGAGGGGGAAGATACAAGGATGGGATTTATGGGAAAGCGGAGGGAAAGGGGAACGCGTAAGAGGAGCTGACAACGCCACCAAAGGGAAGAGGACGGAGGAGAGTAGATAGAAAGTCGGGTGTGGGTTGCGCAAAGCAGAGATTGTGAAAATGATGGGCGAAGGGGAGGGGAGCGGAGGGGAGGGGAGGGAAGAGGAGGGGAAGGAAAGGGAAGAAAAGGGAAGGAAAGAGAGGGGAGGGAGACGAAGAATGCAGCAGGAGGAGGGGCAAACGCACCTGTTGCTGAAGTGCGGAGTGGAGAAAAGCACTTGCATAACAGCCGCCAGGTAGCAACTGCCATGGGGTAGAAGAGCGGACACAGGTGGGGACAGAAAGGGAGAGATGGATGGATGGATGGATGGATGGATGGATGGATGGATGGATGGATGGATGGATGGATGGATGGATGGATGGATGGATGGATGGATGGATGGATGGATGGATGGATGGATGGATGGATGGATGGATGGGATGGATGGATGGATGGATGGATGGATGGATGGATGGATGGATGGATGGATGGATGGATGGATGGATGGATGGATGGATGGATGGATGGATGGATGGATGGATGGATGGATGGATGGATGGATGGATGGATGGATGGATGGATGGATGGATGGATGGATGGATGGATGGATGGATGGATGGACGATGCAAGAATAACGAGCAGGTAAAAGCACCAGTGAGAAAGCAGCAGATGGGAGTGACGGTAAGGACAGAGCGGGTGCAGATTCCATATGGCGTGGGCAGTACGAGCACCTGGGGTGGGCAGTAACGGTAGTAAGAGCACTTGTTGCCGAGGTTAGCGAGGCCGGTGAGGCCCGGGTCAAAGAGTGGCTGCAGCGCCTTGCCCTGCTCCTGCAAGCTGAGATGACCTTTGTCTAGACTCAAAGTCATTGAAGGGGCACAGTGTGCACAAGCGGTGGGCAGTGAGGCGGAGCACCTGTTGCCAAGATGCTCACCTGTTGCCAAGATGCGCACCTGTTGCCGAGGTTAGCGAGGCCGGTGAGGCCCCGGCCGAAGAGTGGCTGCAGCGCCTTGCCCTGCTCCTGCATGCGGTTCCAGTCGAAGCTCAGGTTCTGGTCCAGCTCCCGCTCCGCCGTCGTCTGCTCTGTCTGGTGACGTGGCGGGAAGGCGGACAGGCAGGGCGGGAGAGAAGCAGGGAGACAACATGTCAGGTGGCTGAAAATATATGTTCCAGTAGAAGCTCAGGTTCTGGTGACTTTTGAGTCGACTCAAAAGTCACCCCATATCAGGTGGCTGAAAATATATGTTCCAGTAGAAGCTCAGGTTCTGGTGACTTTTGAGTCGACTCAAAAGTCACCCCATATCAGGTCGCTGAAAATATATGTTCCAGTAGAAGCTCAGGTTCTGGTGACTTTTGAGTCGACTCAAAAGTCACCCCATATCAGGTGGCTGAAAATATATGTTCCAGTAGAAGCTCAGGTTCTGGTGACTTTTGAGTCGACTCAAAAGTCACCCCATATCAGGTCGCTGAAAATATATGTTCCAGTAGAAGCTCAGGTTCTGGTGACTTTTGAGTCGACTCAAAAGTCACCCCATATCAGGTGGCTGAAAATATATGTTCCAGTAGAAGCTCAGGTTCTGGTGACTTTTGAGTCGACTCAAAAGTCACCCCATATCAGGTCGCTGAAAATATATGTTCCAGTCGAAGCTCAGGTTCTGGTGACTTTTGAGTCGACTCAAAAGTCACCCCATATCAGGTGGCTGAAAATATATGTTCCAGTAGAAGCTCAGGTTCTGGTGACTTTTGAGTCGACTCAAAAGTCACCCCATATCAGGTGGCTGAAAATATATGTTCCAGTAGAAGCTCAGGTTCTGGTGACTTTTGAGTCGACTCAAAAGTCACCCCATATCAGGTGGCTGAAAATATATGTTCCAGTAGAAGCTCAGGTTCTGGTGACTTTTGAGTCGACTCAAAAGTCACCCCATATCAGGTCGCTGAAAATATATGTTCCAGTCGAAGCTCAGGTTCTGGTGACTTTTGAGTCGACTCAAAAGTCACCCCATATCAGGTGGCTGAAAATATATGTTCCAGTAGAAGCTCAGGTTCTGGTGACTTTTGAGTCGACTCAAAAGTCACCCCATATCAGGTCGCTGAAAATATATGTTCCAGTCGAAGCTCAGGTTCTGGTGACTTTTGAGTCGACTCAAAAGTCACCCCATATCAGGTGGCTGAAAATATATGTTCCAGTAGAAGCTCAGGTTCTGGTGACTTTTGAGTCGACTCAAAAGTCACCCCATATCAGGTGGCTGAAAATATATGTTCCAGTAGAAGCTCAGGTTCTGGTGACTTTTGAGTCGACTCAAAAGTCACCCCATATCAGGTGGCTGAAAATATATGTTCCAGTAGAAGCTCAGGTTCTGGTGACTTTTGAGTCGACTCAAAAGTCACCCCATATCAGGTCGCTGAAAATATATGTTCCAGTAGAAGCTCAGGTTCTGGTGACTTTTGAGTCGACTCAAAAGTCACCCCATATCAGGTCGCTGAAAATATATGTTCCAGTCGAAGCTCAGGTTCTGGTGACTTTTGAGTCGACTCAAAAGTCACCCCATATCAGGTGGCTGAAAATATATGTTCCAGTAGAAGCTCAGGTTCTGGTGACTTTTGAGTCGACTCAAAAGTCACCCCATATCAGGTGGCTGAAAATATATGTTCCAGTAGAAGCTCAGGTTCTGGTGACTTTTGAGTCGACTCAAAAGTCACCCCATATCAGGTGGCTGAAAATATATGTTCCAGTAGAAGCTCAGGTTCTGGTGACTTTTGAGTCGACTCAAAAGTCACCCCATATCAGGTGGCTGAAAATATATGTTCCAGTAGAAGCTCAGGTTCTGGTGACTTTTGAGTCGACTCAAAAGTCACCCCATATCAGGTGGCTGAAAATATATGTTCCAGTAGAAGCTCAGGTTCTGGTGACTTTTGAGTCGACTCAAAAGTCACCCCATATCAGGTGGCTGAAAATATATGTTCCAGTAGAAGCTCAGGTTCTGGTGACTTTTGAGTCGACTCAAAAGTCACCCCATATCAGGTGGCTGAAAATATATGTTCCAGTAGAAGCTCAGGTTCTGGTGACTTTTGAGTCGACTCAAAAGTCACCCCATATCAGGTGGCTGAAAATATATGTTCCAGTAGAAGCTCAGGTTCTGGTGACTTTTGAGTCGACTCAAAAGTCACCCCATATCAGGTGGCTGAAAATATATGTTCCAGTAGAAGCTCAGGTTCTGGTGACTTTTGAGTCGACTCAAAAGTCACCCCATATCAGGTGGCTGAAAATATATGTTCCAGTAGAAGCTCAGGTTCTGGTGACTTTTGAGTCGACTCAAAAGTCACCCCATATCAGGTGGCTGAAAATATATGTTCCAGTAGAAGCTCAGGTTCTGGTGACTTTTGAGTCGACTCAAAAGTCACCCCATATCAGGTGGCTGAAAATATATGTTCCAGTAGAAGCTCAGGTTCTGGTGACTTTTGAGTCGACTCAAAAGTCACCCCATATCAGGTGGCTGAAAATATATGTTCCAGTAGAAGCTCAGGTTCTGGTGACTTTTGAGTCGACTCAAAAGTCACCCCATATCAGGTGGCTGAAAATATATGTTCCAGTCGAAGCTCAGGTTCTGGTGACTTTTGAGTCGACTCAAAAGTCACCCCATATCAGGTGGCTGAAAATATATGTTCCAGTAGAAGCTCAGGTTCTGGTGACTTTTGAGTCGACTCAAAAGTCACCCCATATCAGGTGGCTGAAAATATATGTTCCAGTAGAAGCTCAGGTTCTGGTGACTTTTGAGTCGACTCAAAAGTCACCCCATATCAGGTCGCTGAAAATATATGTTCCAGTCGAAGCTCAGGTTCTGGTGACTTTTGAGTCGACTCAAAAGTCACCCCATATCAGGTCGCTGAAAATATATGTTCCAGTAGAAGCTCAGGTTCTGGTGACTTTTGAGTCGACTCAAAAGTCACCCCATATCAGGTGGCTGAAAATATATGTTCCAGTAGAAGCTCAGGTTCTGGTGACTTTTGAGTCGACTCAAAAGTCACCCCATATCAGGTGGCTGAAAATATATGTTCCAGTAGAAGCTCAGGTTCTGGTGACTTTTGAGTCGACTCAAAAGTCACCCCATATCAGGTGGCTGAAAATATATGTTCCAGTCGAAGCTCAGGTTCTGGTGACTTTTGAGTCGACTCAAAAGTCACCCCATATCAGGTGGCTGAAAATATATGTTCCAGTAGAAGCTCAGGTTCTGGTGACTTTTGAGTCGACTCAAAAGTCACCCCATATCAGGTGGCTGAAAATATATGTTCCAGTAGAAGCTCAGGTTCTGGTGACTTTTGAGTCGACTCAAAAGTCACCCCATATCAGGTGGCTGAAAATATATGTTCCAGTAGAAGCTCAGGTTCTGGTGACTTTTGAGTCGACTCAAAAGTCACCCCATATCAGGTGGCTGAAAATATATGTTCCAGTAGAAGCTCAGGTTCTGGTGACTTTTGAGTCGACTCAAAAGTCACCCCATATCAGGTGGCTGAAAATATATGTTCCAGTAGAAGCTCAGGTTCTGGTGACTTTTGAGTCGACTCAAAAGTCACCCCATATCAGGTCGCTGAAAATATATGTTCCAGTCGAAGCTCAGGTTCTGGTGACTTTTGAGTCGACTCAAAAGTCACCCCATATCAGGTCGCTGAAAATATATGTTCCAGTCGAAGCTCAGGTTCTGGTGACTTTTGAGTCGACTCAAAAGTCACCCCATATCAGGTGGCTGAAAATATATGTTCCAGTAGAAGCTCAGGTTCTGGTGACTTTTGAGTCGACTCAAAAGTCACCCCATATCAGGTGGCTGAAAATATATGTTCCAGTAGAAGCTCAGGTTCTGGTGACTTTTGAGTCGACTCAAAAGTCACCCCATATCAGGTGGCTGAAAATATATGTTCCAGTAGAAGCTCAGGTTCTGGTGACTTTTGAGTCGACTCAAAAGTCACCCCATATCAGGTGGCTGAAAATATATGTTCCAGTAGAAGCTCAGGTTCTGGTCCAACTCCCGCTCCGCTGTCGTCTGCTCCGTCTGTGTGCATGCACATCACGAGGCAGGCCGGCAGAGTGGGAGAGAGGACCACTTGAGACAGGGAGAGGGGCAGGCAGGCGGGTGGGCGGGTGGGCGGGTATGCACAAGGGACAAGAAACGGTTCTCTGGCTTGCCTTGATCCTGAGGCGCCTCAAGAAATCTTTCCAGGCAAATTCATTCAAGGTTGCCAATGGGAGGATCGGTTGTGCGCCTGTGGCTGTGTGTCTGTGTGGCTGTGTGGCTGTGCGGCTTTGTGGCTGTGCGGCTGTATGAATGTGTGGCTTGCCTTGGTGAGCGCGGAGAAGTCGATGCCGAAGTGCGCGAGGTGCTTGGCCAGGAGGGGGTCCTCCACTGTGTCGTCCTCCTCGTACGAGTACACGTCTGGTGGTGGGGGGAGCGGAAGGGAGTGGGGAAAAGGAGGGGGGGGGGGGGGGGAAGGAGGGGGTGGGGAGGGGGGAAAGGAGGGGGTGGGGAGGGGCGAAAGGAGGGGGGATGGACGGACATATACGCGCCTTGTAGCTTCTCAGTTTGGCTAGCAGGGGGTCCTCCACTGTGGCGTCCTCCTCGTACGAGTACACGTCTGGCAGCAGGGGACGGGAGGAGCGGACGAAACGGGGGACGGGAGGAACGGGAGGAGGGACGGGAGGAGGGACGGGAGGAGGGACGGGAGGAGGGACGGGAGGAGGGACGGGAGGAGGGACGGGAGGAGGGACGGGAGCGGGCAAGGCAAGGGGATAAAGACACCTTGAGGCATCTCAAGGGCCTCCATTAAGTGGTCATCCGCTCTTGATCTACCATCCAGGGCGATTCTACCACGAGCTCTGCCACTCCAAACCTCACCTGCCGTTTTAAGTCCGGAGTGATCGTCCCCAGCTTCACAGCCAGTGGAGACTTACTCTCCTCATCGAGCATCAGCGCATGCCAAATGCAACCTCCTTCACCCCTCCATCCCTTCCTGCTCCCCTACTCCTCTCCCTCCTCCCGTCCTGCGCTTCCCTCCCCTGACCCTGCCCAGCCTCCTTCCTTCCTACCTACCACACGCCCTCTCACCCGCACGCAAACACCAGGTGCTCTGCCCATCCAATCTCCTACTCCAAACTCATCAGTGACCCACCTGCCGTCTCCAAGTCCGGGGTGATCGTCCCCAGCTTCACCGCCAGCGGGAACTTCGTCTCCTCATAGCGCCTGCCCGTTCCCCCCCATGCCGTCCCACAGCTTGCGCCCGCACAGGATCGTCCCGTCGCTCAGATTCATCCACAGATGTGTTCTGAGTAGACTCAAAACGCTCCCTCCTCCCTTCTTACCCTACTTCCACTCGCTCCCACTCACCCTCGCCCAAACACCTCCTGCTTCTTCTACCCACCAGCCGTCTCCAAGTCCGGGGTGATGGTCCCCAGCTTCACCGCCAGCGGGAACTTGGTCTCCTCATAGTGCGTCAGCGCGTGCCCGTTCCCGCCCGTGCCGTCCCACAGCTTGCGCCCGCACAGGATCGTGCCATCGCTCAGATTCATCCACAGATTCTCCTTCTTCTCGCACTTGGCGCACTGCCACAGCGCCGGCAGCGACGGGACCTTGACGCCGTTGTCGAGCTGGACCAGAGAGAGCGCGGACTTGGCGATCCGCTTCTTCTCCGCCACCCATGCCGATACCTGCTGCTTGCGCTCTGCGCCTTCTGCTGCTATCACGGATTCCACTGACATGCGGATCTGGAGGGGAGGGAGGAAAAGGGTAGAAATGGGCAAAGGAACTGGTGATTCCGTGTTGGAAAGAGGATAGTACCGTTACTCAGGTCTACTCACAGGTTACCCCAAACCTCGACCTAAACCCTCAATCGTGAGCCCTGATACCTCAAAACAAGTCTAAAAAGTATATGGTTGGTAGAACAGGCACGTCCAACCCTCTCGTTGCTCGCCGCCTTTCGCCGCTCTTTCGCCTCCAATTCTCCAGTATGCAAGCACCCCTAGCTAATTGGGCAGTCGTACAATCTCAGGGAGGTCGTTGTTGGGGTAGGGAAGCTCCAGCTTGTCTGGTAAAAGAACCACACTATAGCGAGCCTCATACTGCACCTCCTTTTCCGGATTGAACCCGCCCTCCATGCCTAAGGTAGGGCAAAAATTGGGAGAGGGAGAGGGGTTCAGGATCGGGAAAGGGAGGGAGCGGGGAAAGAGAGAAGGAAAGGACGGGGCAAAAGAAGGACGGGTTTGGGATGCGAGTGCAGGAGGTGTAAGATTGCACAGAGGTCGTAAAATCTGGCTCGGAACATGGGAACTGAGAGCAGAGAAACGACGGATGGGAGATGACCAAAAGAGGAGAGGGCACAGACGATGGATCATACAAAGGAACAGACAGAGCCAGTTTCTGAGGCAGTTTCTCGATAGTCAGCGAGCCCGTGTTGACCAAACCCCAAACCCCAAACCCGTGCAAACCACCGCCGAACATCCCATGGATACTCTTGCTGCTTTCACTCAGACCTATGGCCAGCAGCGTTGGTTTCTTGGAAGGTGGCTCTTTATCCATCTCCTCCCCATCCTCCCCGTCCTCCCCCTCCGCGCCCTTCTTCCTCTCCTTCTCCTTCTCCACCTCTCGGATCCGCAGGAACACTGCGTTGCCGGTCTTGGCGTGCTGCCACGCTGCTGCTCGCTCGCTGAAGGCGAGGAAGGAGTTGAGGTCCACAAGAAGGCCCGTCTTGGACCGCTGCGGTAAGGAAGGGGCAGAGGGTGGACGGGGAGGGGAAGAGATGGGGGAAGGAGGGGGGATGCCGGTCTTGGCGTGCTGCCACGTGGCAGCTCGCTCGCTGAAGGCGAGGAAGGACTTGAGGTCCACGAGAAGGCCCGTCTGGGACTGCTGTTGTGGGGGTGGGGGAGGGGAAAGGAGGGATACGAGGATCTCGATTCTGACCGGTGAAGATAAGGTAGAGGGACGGTAGAGGTGGGAGACGGGGAGGGACGGGGAGGGGCGGGGAGGGGGTCGAAGGAAATCCAATCCAATGGGAGTGGGGGAACCTGAAAGCGAGAAAACCTAGCGACACTGGCACAAAGCGAGGGGGCGAAAGAAAGAGAGTTGTACGCGAGAGAGAGAGAGAGAGAGAGAGCGAGAGAGAGATAGAGAGAGAGAGAGAGAGAGAGACCGTCGAGAGAGGGGGGAGGAGAAGAAGGGACTGACTGACCGGGGTATCAAAGGTGATGCAGCACTCCTCCTTGTACACGCGCGTGCCCCCATCCGCCACCCTCACCCGCTGCAAGTGCGCCCGCAGCCGTTCCACCACTGCTGACCGCAACCCCTCGTCCCCCATGCCGCCGGCTCCGCCGCTGCTACCCCTTCGCACACTCCCTCCGTCGCTTTTACCCCTGCAAACACTGCCTCTGCAGTTGTTTCGGCTGCTGTCGCCACCCCTGCCGATACCCCTGCCGCTCCTGGGGCTTGTTCCACCTAGGGTTTGATGAGAGGCTGGGGACAGATGTCATAAAACGGAATTAGAGCCCGCGTTAGGAGGGGATAACGGCGCCACATACCGGGACATATAGAGCAGCGACATGAGTATGGGAGTGACGCGAGTATGGGAGTGATGCGAGTATGGACCTGACATGAGTGTGGGAGTGACGCGAGTGTGGGAGTGACGTGAGTGTGGGAGTGACGTGAGTGTGGGAGTGACGCGACTAACGAGTGGGCAACAACAGACCAGAACCGACGCGAGATCCGGACTCATCCGGACTCTGAAACTACGAGCAATAGCGTCAATTTGCGCTGAATATAAAGGGCTCTGGACTCATCCGGTCCCTAGCAGGGAAGTATGTAAATCCCACTTTCCTGGATCCCCGTATTGCGGATCCCACGGTGACTGTCCGGAAAATAGGGACCAGCCTTACTTTGACAGAAGTCTACCACCGTTTCCACCGGTTCTCTCCTTCCTTTCCTGACCACTGTCTTTCCTGACATTGGCGAATTCTCAAACCGCGTCAGAGGGGGTCAAATTCGAGATCCTCGGGATGAAAACGAAGCTACTTCGCACTTCGAATCCTGGACGTTGGAAATCAGCCGCACGACTGCGAAGGCTGTATGCAACCAAGTGCTTGCCTGATCTGGTGAATTCTGAGCGGATCTTAAGATCTCGATTCGGGTAAAAATTCGCGGAGATCATACTTAATCTATGAGCGCGACTTCCCGGGCGAGAAGCGGCGTGAACAACAATAACGAGCCAAGGAGCCACGTCGCGCCACGTGAACTGGATCAGAAACTGGATCAGATTCAGCCGAGCTCGCATACCGCAATGGCCATACTCACGTGAAGCGGGATGGAAGCCTGGAGAAGAGAATAGAGCCGGTGAGCGACTCCGTCCGTAGGGTGCCTCAGAAGTGAAGGGCCAAGCAGGAAACCTAGGATTCTAGGACTGGAAGAGACTACCTCTGATTGCAGGAGTGACTGATCGAAATTCCAAGGCAAGTGAAGAAGCAGCAGGACTGGGCTGGAGGCTGAGATGGGGAAATGTCAGACCAGCTCCCTCAAAACGCAGCCCCGTTACTAGATACGGTGGCATTACGCACTCCTAGGTTCACATAAAGGCATAAGCTCGTGTTTCCTGATTTTAACAATAGAAGCTAAATATAGCTAAGATGCCAGTCAGAAAACACGGTGTACCTATTTTATGTAAATTCAATGGTTGGGTCCTTGTTCCTGAAACACTGCGGAAGACTCACGCAATTGGTCGGTGAAAAGATTGTCCAAGGTGTCACCACAGTTTTCATTTGCTCACCACCCGCCTCCTCGCACACTTGAAAGGGCATGCGTCGAATCTGGCGAGTGAGCCTTTTTTATGGTCATGACGTGGACCACATTGGAAATGAGTCTACACATTTGAAGAAAAGCTGCGGCTCGGCGCATGCCTGCCAGCTCAAGACACATCACGTACCACGTGACAGTATAGACTTCCTTGTTCACCTAATCAACGTCTTCCAAGTGGAGATTTCTCAAAGAGAACAAATTTCATAGGTCAATCAAAGTTTGGCATGGCATGCTATTGGGCCAGGGTACGTGTTTCCAGCTGAAGGCAGGTGGCCACTGGCCAAGTAAAAGGCGCGAAAAAGGGAGGAGATCCGGAAGATCAATGCACCATGCATCCTCCATTCGCCTCTCTAAGCTAAACCTGGATCACCGCTGGGCCTCATTAAGCAACTAAGCAAAACAAATGCTAAGTGCAGGGACTATTGGCGCGTAGTATAGCTGCAACATCATCTAGTCTCACTAAACATCATATTCAGTCCCATGGGTAAACACGCCTTGACACGCGATGCGAACAGGGGGTTAACTTTACCGAAGCGCGTCTTCATGAAGGAAATGTTCGATGCTGTGCAACTTCAAAGAAAAAAGCAGCCACATTCATCTTCCCGAATCACACTCACCAACTCCCGCTTCCGTGCTCACGCCACTGCCAAACCAATTGCGCCACACAACTGCACTATTTCCTCCTGCTCTTTGATTCTTCGTCTGTCAAGTCTCGCCTCGCGCTCTCGTCCCAATCGGCGGGTGCACTGCACCTCTCTGCTCTTCTTGGTTCCCGTCAAGCTGCTGCTTTTGCTGCACCGCTGCCTCGGCTCTCATCTACGCTTCGCGTGGTTCATGTGGCGTCGTTCCGTCCTCCGTTTACGGTGACTCCTCCCGCTTCTTGTCCGCGTCGCGATTCCTCTCACACGCTTGCTTTCCCTCATCAAACCATCTGCCTGTGTCAAGCTCAACCAAAGTTTCGTCTCCACCGCCTCGCCTGGCATACTCCCTCCGCCTGGGAGGCTTCCGCTCGTCGATCTTGCCAGAATTTTTTCCATACCTCCGAGAGTCTCAGGCGACGAGAGCCGGCGAGGGCTGAATCTCACGCGCTCTTCCTTATCGATCGAGGTCGACGCAGGTCGACGAGGGTCTACGAGGGCTGAATCTAACGCGCTCAGCTGTGCCTACGCTTGGATACCCCCTTATCCGACACCGCGGGGTCGTTTCTTCCAGAAACATATGCTGGATCACAAAAAGGCCGGAACGCCAAGTCTCGGATCCGGAGGTGAAAGAGAGAAGGGAGTTAGTAGCTCTTTCTTCCACGTCCCACTCTCCGCGGCCTGCCTCCTGTCTTGTGTCCTTTCTATTTGAAAGCCCTTCTCTCCGGAATTCAAGCCTGCCAGAATTCACCATCTCTGCTACACGTGAGTTCTAGTCTCGTGCTCGCCGAAACGCCGTCAACCTTCCGTCCTACGCCAGCCTACCAGCACCGCTATCAGGCATCTCTCGGCAACTGCGAGTCGCCTGATCTTACATCGAACTAGATTCACCGCCTCGATCGCGCGCTTCCTCTCACCATTTTGAGCCGCCATGGATTCTGTTTCCGCGCTGAGATGTGTCCAGCCGTCGGCTGCCTCCGCCATCGCCGCCGCCGCCGCCAATTCGATCCGTAACGCAGCGACCAACTACAGCGGCGGCCCCGTGAACAATTCGTCCTCGCTATCAACAAGTGTTTCGGGAAGATCAACAACCGCCGGTGCTGCCGCGTCGTTACACTCGTCTCACCATGTCGTGCCGTTGTCGTCCAAGATTCGCCAACTCCCCCTTGCGCGACCATTGCCAGCATCTCGCACCCGCCGTCACGGCTGTCGCAAACCGTTGCACGGCGGCGATAACGACACCCGGGGCGATCGCCTGAGTTTCGCCGTGAGCGCCAGCAGTCGCCGGAGCAGGGGGTGGGACGACCCTAACGAAGGCGCGAGGAAGAGCGACGAGGTTCAGCGCATGCTGGTGGATATAGTGCGACTTCAGGTACCGATGCGTGAGGAGTCCATTTTTGAGGCGCCTCAAAAATAGGTTTAGCGCATGCTGGTGGATATAGTGCGACTTCAGGTACCGATTACGTCTCCCCCGTCCTCTCTCTCCCATGCCGTTTTTTCAAATCTACCCGCATGTTTGCGAATCCCGCGTTCGTTACGCTCACGTCGTTTTGTGCGTCGCACACGTCGCACACGTCGCTCACGTCGCATCTGTGTCGCAGATGGGCGAGGTGCGCATGAACTCGCTGGTGGAGGAGCGCTCGGCGCGCTTGAGGAGCATCGCGCGCGACAGCCACGAGCAGCTGGACCGCATCGCGGACCGCACGATGAAAGGCGTGGACGACCTGAGCGATAGGGTGAGTCTTGAGGCGTCGAAGGCGTCGCTGAATCTGGTTTCAGGCCGTCTCGACCCTAGACAGCCACGAGCAGCTGCCAGCTGCCAGCTGCCGGCTGCCAGTGGACCGCATGCAGGCCGCACCATGAAGGGCGTCGACGACGTCACCTGAACTATCGGGTAAGTTTTGAGGCGCGTCTCAAGTCTCGAAACTTGATTATCTTCGCGCGCACGGTTTTTTAGACGTTTCAAAGCGCGCGACAGCCACGAGCTGCTGGGCGACCTCGCGGATCCCACGACGAAGGGCGTCATCGGACGACGTCACCTGAGCGACCGGGTGAGTCCGAATTTTGCGACCGTCTCAAACCGAGACAGCCTCGAGCTGCTGGACGACATTGCGGATCTGAGCGGCACCATGAAGGGCGTCGACGACGTCACCTGAGCGAGCGGGTGAGTCGCCGTGGGTTCTTGTGAGGTGCCTCAAAATGGACTAGGTGAGTTTGGCGGCCTGAGCGAGCGGGTGAGTCGCCGTGGAGATAGTAATAGTAGGGTATCTTGTCGTCGTGCTGTCGTGTGAATTTTCCTTGGCTGGAGGTCTCAGTCGAGTCGACTAGCACCAAGATATGCCATACGTAGCACGCGCATTCTGAGGATTCTCTTAGAATGCTTGAAGACGGCATCCAGAGTCTTTTTTACGAACTCATTTTTTGTCTTCCCTGCCCGTTGCCACGTGGCGACCACCAGGTGCTACGTCAGCTGGACGCGGGGGCGTACGCCATCGAGAGAGATTTGGAGAAAGCACGCCTAGAGATGGAGGTATGCTGTCCGCCCTGCTCCTACCCTCTCCGCCCTTCGCCCTCTTTTTTGAGCCATGCCCATTTCCCCACTCGCCATCCTCCTTGCTGCCTGCCAAAGGGTTTGGCTCCGGTGCGTGGGGTTTTAAAAATAAAATCGTAGTCCATTAGGAGGGAGTTGAATTCCGAGCACCCGCTGCTGTGAGTGCACCCGTTGCGCTCACCCCCGTCGCTCTGCTCCCCGTTCACTCCCCACCCCCCCCCCTCCCCCCTTCCCCTTCCCCTTCCCCTCCCCCAGGCCCAGCAGAAGGATTTCGAGGAGTTTGAGCGCCGAGTGTTCACCTCGCGCAACGAGGGCCTCTTCTTCAAAACCCTTTACTCCCCCTCCTCCACCTCCTCCTCTCTCTCCTCCCGCCGCCGCCGCTCCCTCCGCCCCTCCTCCTCCGCTTCTCCGTCGGCCCCTGCGTTTCGCCAGTCCCGTGCTGCAAAATCCCGAACGGCTGCAGCGGCTACTGCCATGTCTGCCACTGCTGCTGAGGCCGCTCTGCTGGATGGTGGCGGTGCCGCTGCTGCGGGCTTGAATAGGAACAGCAGCAGCAGTGGCCTGCTAGGCCTCCGCTCAGATGGTGCCAGCGTCGACGAGGAAAGTGGAGGGGGGATGTGGGATGCTGAGGCGGATGGCGAGTGGCGTATGGGTTATGAGCAGCTGGAGCGGGAGCAGCAGGAGATGAAGCAGGGTGCTTCCATGTACAGGCGTATCCTTCATGCCGGCATGTCGCTCGTGCTCGTGTCCTTCCTCTGGAGCTCCACTACTGGTATGTATGGTCTGGACTCAAATCTCATCAATCTCATCACTAGAAACACAAGATAAGCAAATGCTTCCAGGCATCTAGTTTTCCCAAATTTCTGCTCTTTGATTTTCGCCCATCTGCCTTGCTCCTACCTGCCTCTTGTGGCCGAACCCTTCTCTATTCCGTGCAGCATTCATAACTGGCCACACAATGCGGTTCTCCAAGGTCTCGGCATATACTGCTATCCTCTCAGTCATGCTGTTGCAACTCAAGTTCGAAAAGGCGATTCTTGGGGAGTATGGTAGTGAAAGTGATGAGGAGGATGGAGAGGGGGGAGCGATAGAGGATAATGCGACGCCTATATCGGCTCCACCAGTGAAGGACTCTTACTGATGCTGAACTGGTGGTGGAGGGTGGTATTCTTCGCTCACTGTGTACAGTCTGTTGTTGCTAGTATATCACAGGGGATTGTTGGGGAGCTCGCTTTAGTGTTCATGCGTGTTGTTTTGGTTGTGTTGATGTTGGAGTAGTCTCCTCGTCCGCGGACTCTAAATGATTGGGTTTCGTGCATATAATTGAGGCCTAAATGAGAACACGTATGCATTACCTTGTACCGATTATCTTTTGGGGCGCTTTTCCCACCTCCCTTCGCTTCCACAGTAGTTCCCTCTCACCAGTTATTCCTCTCACCAGTGATTCCATTCCATATCAGCCACCAACAAAAAACAGATACAGTTTTTCATTAAATAGAGCAGTGCAGTACAGCATATCCCATTGCAGCACCCATCACCACCGATCAGCAAAAGCAACCAATGGAAGACGGTTCATGGACCAGAGATCTTCGGAGACATCCATGTGAGCTAGGAGAAATTCGTTTTCTCAATAAGGGTGTGGTACTTGTGTAAAACAGCCCCGAGTTGCGCAATTCTCTAACAGAGTGGTCGATAGTATTTGCGGAAGTGCCACGCCCTCGATAGTATTTCCATAGTTTTTGCATAAGTACGATCAGAAGCCTTGACATGTCAGGTTACCGAAGTCAAACGGTTTTGTACCACCCGAACAACGCTAGCACCGTACTGCACAGCGTTCGGGCATGTCAAAACGTCAACGTTTTCGCTACTTTTAACACCCTGCTGAACCGTTTTCAAAGCAATATTGATCCTTCGGAAAAGCAATCCACCGGACAGGCCTGTACAGAACACAGCTTGTTGCTGTTTTGCTGTTGGTTGGGAAGGAGGCAACAGTTCCTTCGTCTCGAATGTTCTGCTGTGGCGTTTCACTAGCAAGCAATTCTGTATATCTGTCAAGAGCTGGCCAGGAGTCTGCTGAAGCATCTCTGTCTCGCTTAGGTGTGACTGCCTCCACCGAGAGAGCTCTGTTATTTATCTCAAACAACAGCAGGCTACTCTCTCGGATCGAGTTATTTTATACGGACGGACACGATGGGGGTACGCTCGCCCGTTCAGCTCGTATTTTTCCCCGCATCACGATTCCTGCTCCGTGTTTCTCGTTATCCCAGTCTGTCTCGCCTTCCCCCTCTCCCCCTCTCCCTGCCTCTCCGTTTCTTCCCGCCTTCTCCTCCCCTCCCCGTATCTCTCCACATACTTCAATCTCTCCTTTTTTCCGCCCTTTTTTCCCTCACATGCCATGCTTTTATCCCTCTTCACCCCCCCGCTCCGCCCCCCCCCCCCCCCCCCCCCCCCCCCCCCCCTTTTCCCCACCTCTTCAACTTTCAGTTGTCGATCCAAGCTTCCAACATATCCTACAAGGCGTCGGAAAAGGACATATACGAGTTCTTCTCTTTCTCCGGAGAGATCACGGGCATTGAGACGAAAACGTAAGCTTCTGGCGCATGCGCTTGTTCTCGATAATTCTTAAAGCCAACTCGTTTCAGGGATCACCGGCATTGAGACGAAAACGTAAGCCTCCGACACATTTCAAGCATCTATCACTCCGATACAACGACTTTGAGGAAGGAGTGAAAGTGCGAGAACCGATCGCATCGTTCGGATGACGCCTACAGGTGAAACCGAATAAGTCACTGTCGAGACATTCGGAAAGGGTTTGATCGACGGTTTCTCATCCGGTCGAAGTAAGCTAATGTGTGTAAGCTAATGTGTACACTAAGGTCGTGTGAGTCACTCGCGAGTCGGATTTCGGAATCACCCTGGTCTATGCGCAGCCCGTTTTCACTTTGAGTCGACTCAATACGAAATTCCTATCACCCTGGACTATGCGCAGCCTGTTTTCGTGCTGGACGTGAAACGGCACAGCGATTAGGTCTACCAGTCAGCACCTGCACCAGCTCTAGCGCTGGAATCACTCTCTTCTTCCCTGGGCTCGCTCCTTCGCCTCTGTCGAGGCAATCTGTCTTTTTCGAACCTTCCGTCGCGTCGAAGCCCGTCGTCCGTCCACGTCCCCCTTTGACGCTACCCGGTTTTGAGGTGCCTTAAAAATTGACGCTACCCGTTTTCGTCCGCGTTCCGGCTCTCTGCGCCGCTGATGGACAGCAGGGATCTGAAGAAGGGCCAGGCCAGGTGGCGTACGTGACGTTAGCGGACGATTTTTTGAGACTTCTCAATGCGAAAGCACTAACACACACACCGATCTCTGCGTCTCTCTACGTGTCTCTGCGTATCTCTGCGTATCTCTGCGTATCTCTGCGTATCTCTGCGTATCTCTGCGTATCTCTGCGTCGCCGATGGATGGCAGGGATCTGAAGAAGGGCCAGGTGGCGTACGTGACGTTCGCGGACGAGAGAGCGTTGGAAACAGCTCTGCTTCTCACGGTACGAGAGGGGACTGTCTGTTCGCCAGAGTAAGGGGATTACGTTACGTGCCTGGCAATAGTAGAGTAAGGATGGTGCTTGGGTCCCCACTTCGATGTCTCAACTCTTCCCGTTCTCAGGGCGTCCAACCCCCCCTCTAACATTGGCCACTGACCAAGCTCATCACAGTGTTTACTCCCCCCCTCCCCCCCCCTCCCTCCCATTTCCCAACCCCTCTTCCTTTTCCCTCCTCCTCCTCCTTGTCTCTCACTTCCCTCTTCAGCGCCCTCGCCCTCTTTCTAGCAACCCTTTAGGCTTCCTCTCGTGCCCTTCCGTCTCCGCGGTTCCTTCCCCTCCAGTCCGCGGTGATAGTGGATGACCCCATCCATCATAGTGGAGGTGCCTGCCTTCCTCTCTTTCCTTCGTCCCCCACCATCCTCCCCCCCCCCTCTCCTCTCTCCCTTCCCCCCCCTCCGCAACCCTCTCCCGAGAACTGTGCTGCTTCTCCTTCCCCCCTGCAGGCCCCCCCTGCAGGGCGCGGTGATAGTGGGGGAGTCCATCATAGTGGAGGTGCCGGATGCCTACTCTCTTCCCTCCCCCCCCCCCCCCCCCCTCTCCCCCTTCCCCCCCGCGTTTTGGAACTACTTCTTCATCCCCAATTCCCTCCTCCAGGGCGCGGTGATAGTGGACGAACCCATCATAGTGGAGGTGCCTAACTCCTGCTCTCTTGCCCTCCCCCTTCCCCCCCCCCCCCCCCCCCCCCCCCCCGCCCGCCCGCCTTTTGGTACTCCTCCTTCAACACAACTGTCCCCTCCAGGGCGCGGTGATAGTGGACGAGCCCATCATAGTGGAGGTGGCGGATGGGTACGACCCCCCTCAGAGAGCCTCCCACGTGGCACAGGAGGTGCAGCGCGCCGTTGCTGCCCAGGTACTTACTGAGGCAGTGCCTGCTAGGGGAGGGAGATGGGCTATGGGCGGGGTACGATGGCGCATTTCAGTCCAGATGACTTCTAAGTCGACTGAAAGGTCACCAGGTACTTACTGATGATGTGTCTGCTAGGGGAGGGAGAAGGCCCAGTAAGATGGGGCATTCCAGGGCCTTAGGATGCTAAAACTGAAAGGAATGGAGAGATACGAGGGGGAGGGAGTGACAGATGGGCGAAATGGTCTCACATGGATGAGTTGATTGGAAAGGCAAGTTTGAGTAGTACCAGCAACCTTCAATCCACCCACCCAAACCCCAGCCCCTCCCCTTCCAACCCCCCCTGCCTCCCTCCCCTTCCCACCCCTCGTCCGTCCTCCCTACTCGCTCTCACCCCTCCCCCCGGCTGGCATCCCCTCCCTATTCCCCAGCAGTCTCCGGCCAAGACCGGTGTGCCTCGTTTCACAGCGCCCGACATCAAGTCTGCTGAGGGGGTCGTGGCGTCCCTTGACTACTATTGAGGCGCCTCGAACCCCCCCCCGCTCGTCCTCCCTTTCCCTCACTCTTCCCCAACAGTCTCCAGCCAAGACTGGTGTGCCTAGTTTTACAGCGCCCGACATCAAGTCTGCAGAGGGGGTCGTGGCGTCGCTCCTTGCTTCAGGGTACATCCTAGGGAAGGACGCAGCGGGCAAAGCCAAAGAGTTTGATACCAAGCACGATCTCAGCCGTACAGCCTCGCTCCAGGTCGCTGCCCTGAAAGATCGGACGGTCGAGACTGCCGCAACGCTCGACAAGAAATACGCCATCTCGCAAAAGTTTTCCGAGACCAAGGAGACGGTCGCACGTTCTTGGACGACTGTCGACGAGCAGTACAAAGTTTCGCAAACTGCCCGGGGGGCAGCGGCTGCAGCGGAGGCGTCGCTGTCCGAGGCCGGGCAGTATCTGATGAAAAACCAGTACGTGGCGACCAGCGCAAGCTGGCTAGCTGGGGCGTTCGGGAAACTCGGGGAGATCGTAGGAGAGGTGAAACAGCAGACTCTGCAGAAGGTGCATGAAGCAGAGGAGGAGCGCGGGGAGGTTCCCACTGTCACTGTTGGCGGTGCGCCAGCCACTGCTCCCGGTGGGTACAGTGCTGTTTCTGGTGACCCTGGCTCTCCTTTCGACAATGATACACCCGGTCCTGCTGCTGGGGCCACAGGTGCAGCTGCTGGTGGCAGTTCTAACCTCTCATCCTCCACTGCCTTGGACCATGGTCCTCCGCTTTTTGCATCACCTGATGCCGCTCCCACTCCTGCTCCTGCTCCTGCTGGTTCGCTCATGGACGATGTTTTCTCTCCTGCTCCTTCTGCTGCTCCTGCTGCTGCTGCTGCTGCTGCTTCTGTTCCGGTGGTGTCTGCCTCACCGGCGAAGCGCCAAACAGAGGAACCTCCTCTGTTTTGAGTTGCCAACTTGCCACACCGACTCTCTGACCCCACCCCACCTGCTTCCTCTCGACGTCTTTCGTACCACCTCTTTCTTGTCCTCAACTACTGTACTCGCCCCTCGTTCCCCCTCTGTTCGTTGCTTACTGGTATAAGGACAGGTTCGTTCTCTATCCAGAGTAGCTCTGATCTTAATTATGGCAATGCAATTGGGATGCACAGATTCACCACCACCACCATCATGCGTAGCTGGTACATCATTGTTACGCGTCGAATTCCCACCATGTCAGACAGTAGTCTATTCAAGGTTGCTTGCTTGCAATGCAACACCCCTACAGTAACCCGAACACGTCAACCCACAGGTGAGGGGCTCCCACCCACGCTTAGCAACATGTACGGTAACGGAATCACTCCATCACACCGCCTTCTCATTCCAGTCTAACTCCACACCACACTCCAACCACCAAAAGCCCTCCTGAATCCTTATACCAGTAAGACCACTTCCAAGTTACCGGCAGTCCATGGCATTTCTAGGCTAGTACAGTACCAGTCCAGAGTGCAAGTGCTGTAGAGTGCAGCAGAGCACACACATCAGTAAACCACACCATTCATTTCAGGTTCTACCTATACTGGTACTTACCTGAGTCTCATCCACCCTACATTTCCAGTTCTTCAGCTCACTTTCCCCTTCCTCTCAAATCCTCGCCTCATACCATAACCCCCACTCTTTGGTACATCCCCAACATCCCACCATGCAAGGGCTTCAGTCCAACAGTCCCCTACCCCTGACAAAAGACCCCTTACACTCTCTCTCTCCTCTACAGTAACTGTGTCCCAAAGCAAGCTGCCTGCTGTGCAGACGCAGGAGCAGCAAGAGCACAGCCACAGACAACAGACAGCAGCAGGAGCAGCAGGAGCAGCATCTGTATGCTTAAGTGAATCATTGTCGAGAAGAGGCCACGCAGGACAGTGACAGGCAGTAGACAGCCCCAGTGCTTTTGAGGCGCCTTTGAGGAGTCTGAGTGCTTTTGAGGCGCCTCAAAAACAATGACAGGCAATAGACAGCCCCAGTGCACATCTCTGAGGCTTCTCAACACCCACGGCTCGGCAGGAGACCTTCACACGAGATTGATCATCGCACAGTACTGCACAGGACCGCTCAGGACCGCACCGCAGATGGTGTAAAAAAGGTTCAGCACCACAGAGCACAGCAGACTCAGGCACTGGCGCATGAGTCAGCTGGTGAATCAAGGAACTGCTACGACTTGGTTCTTCATAGTTGGGACTTGGGAGCGGAGTGGAACCCGGAGTATGTATGGATGTAGCGGGAGTGGAACGAAACCAATGAGGAGTCACGTGATGGAGGCTCGAAACTCGAATCCCAGATGCTCTTCTATTCTGTTCTGCTGCAGAGCGGAGGAGGTATCTGATGTGGTTTGCAGGCGTTTCTGGAGTGTGGGAGGGGCGTGTTGGAGGTGGGTTGGATTACGAAGCGGATGCAGTGTCCGGAATTTCACTGGCAGCTGCTCTGCTCTGCTCTGCTCTTCTCCTCTATGCTGTGCTCTACTGGGAGCGGGTGACTTAGCTAAAAATCACAGGCGCGTGGGTCACAGGTGTACGGCATCACTGGTTACGGGCAAAATGGTGCGTGTGAGGCCTGTTTTCAGCTTCAGATGGTGAAGGGACAGGGAACGGGAATCACTGCTGCTGCGCTGGATGGTACTCCTGCTCGTTTCCAGTCACTTCTGTCACTGGAGGAATGAGGAAAACCGAAGGAGATAGTAGGCAATCAAAAGAAATGAAAAGAGAAAAAGGGTGGAGATGAGTGAGGGCGAAGCACAGGAAAAAAAAAAATTATATATATATATAAATGTAAGAGGGTAGGAAGAGAAAGTAGAAAGTGAGAATGGCCGAAAGACAAATACCTGTTGCGGATGGGAGCTGCTGCTGCTGTGGTGGTTTCCATAGAGCAGCCGCCGAGGCAATGGAAGCAGTGATGTCAACAGGCGCACTGAGAAAATGGAAGAGGAGGGAGGATGGCACGGGGCAGTGTGATATGGTTCATGAAACGTCCCAAGCCCTAGAGCTAGGATGTGTTTTGTTCATGAGAATTCTCCTTCTGAGTCGACTCAAAAGCAGAATTCTGAAAAAAAAAGCACGGGGCAGTGTGTTCTGATTCGTGAAACGTCCCAAGCCCTAGAGCTGAAGTGTCAGCATTGAAGGAGAGGCAGCAGAGAGAATAGATGCGATGATATGTCAACACGTGCACTCAAGAGACGTGGGATGAGAGGGAAGCGTAGACGGCAGCTTGCTGGCCCGCTGCAGAAGCAGGCACGTAGCAGAGCGCAGCAGTGGGGTTGAAGGGGTCCAAGCACGTACTGAATGCTTGTTGTTGTTCAGCATACCCACCCCCCCCCACCCCTAGAATGCAGCTTAGCCCCACCTGCCCCCAGCAGCGTAGACGGCAGCCTGCTGGCCCGCGGCAGAAGCAGGTGCGTAGTAGAGAGCCGCGGTGGGGTTGGAGGGGTCCACAGCTGCAATGAACGGCTGGCCGTAGCCCCCCGCTGCTAGCTGCGCTGCGCCCACGCCTCCTGGCGTCAGCACAGGCACCCTGGGGAACACGGGGGAGGGCGGGGGGAGAAAGGTGAGGGGAGGCGGGCGGCAGGATAGTGGAGATGCATGGATAGTGTGAGGGGTTAGGAGTGGAGTCGTGCTTGCATCCACATAGAGCGGTGCCTGTTGCAAAGGAATTTGCCGGCAATGCCATGGCCATAGCGCCCCATTACACACACTCGTGCATGCATACGCAAGGGCACTATACGATACAAATGTGCACTATACGATACAATGTGCACTACAGCATACAAATGTGGATTATACGATACAATGTGCACTATACGATACACACGTGCACTATACCATACACATGTGCACTCACCAAGTGACCTCCGTGCTAGTGTACGCATAGTGCGGCGCATGCCCCATGGAATAAGCCACACACACAAGAGAGCACACACGAGCACACATACACATGCACAAGCACACTTCGTCATACACTCACCAAGTGACCTCCGTGCTCGCATACGCATAGTGTGGCGCGTGCCCCATAAAGTAAGCCGCACACACATACACATACACATACACATGTGCACACGTCCACACACACGCACAAACACATGCACATGCACATGCGCACTTCATCGTACACTCACCAAGTGACCTCCGTGCTCGCATACGCGTAGTGCGGCGCCTGCCCCATGGAATACGCCGGCATAGCCATGCCCATAGCCGCAGCTGCCGCCGCCGCTGCCGCCGCCCCTCCCGGCTGCTGCCCATACTGAAACGCCTTGGGGGTGTAATCCGGGGCACTCACGCGCATTGCACTCCCTGCCGCCCCTCCCATTGCCCCTCCTGCCATAGTCACACCGCCATCCATATGCATTGTAGATCCATCCATCCCAAGAACCATCATCCCCCCACCCATCCCCGCACCCATCCCTCCTCCCATCCCCGCACCCATTCCTGCTCCCATCCCGGCCGTTTGATCCATATCTGCAGGCATATCTAATCCACCCGCCCCAGAACCAGCCTGACTGCCGTATCCCACTGCTGCTGCCTGCGCTCCTGCCTGCGCTGCTGCGCCTGCAGCCTCTGCAGCCGCTGCCGGCACCACTGCTGCTCCTTCTCCGCCTCCTCCTCCTCCCCCTCCTCCTGCTGCTGCTCCTGTTGCTGATGCTGATCCCTCTTCTCCTGCTGCTGCGCCTCCTTTCTCCCCATAACCAGGCCCAGACCCATTCCATGTGCCAAGCCCTGCACCTGCTGCCACTGCTGCTGCCCCACCTGCCCCTGCAACTCCCTCTCCTCTATCCTTCCCTCCAGATCCCTCCGCCCCCTGAGCTGGTCCTGCCTGGATAGAGCCTCCCCCAAATGTACCTCCCCCCAAATCCGTCCCGCCTGCAGCAGAAGCGACCTGTGGTTGAGCCTGCTGCCACCGTGCCTGCTGCTGGTGGTAATGCTGCTGATGCTGCTGGTAGTGCTGCTGCTGCTGCTGCTGTTGCTGCTGGTAGTGCTGCTGCTGGTAGTAAGGCTGTGGTTGCTGCTGCTGCTGGTAATACTGCTGCTGCGGTCGCTGCTGCTGACTCTTGTACGCCTGCTGCTGCTGCTGTTGACTCGCTGGGACAAAATCACGCACCCCAACTGCTGTCAGCTTCTTCTGCTGCTGCTGCTGCTGACTCTGCTGCTGCTGATTCTGCTGCGCCAGCTGCTGCTGCTGCCAGTTGAGTTGCTGCTGGTCCCTACCCTGCATCGATCCCACACCAGCCCCACCCCCTCCTGCCGCCCCCTGCACTCCCCCTCCCCCTACCCACCCCCCGCCAACATCCCCCATACCTGGCCCACACAAGTACCTGTATCCCCCTCCCCGCGCCCCCCTCCCTCCTCTCCCTCCTCTGCCTCCCCTCCCTTCGTACCCTCCACCATAACCCCTACCCCTAACTGCCCCTCCTGGCCCCCCTACACCTCCTGAAACTACCACACCTGTTGCTCTTTCTCCTGCCACTCCTGCTCCTACTCCTACCCCTCCAACCCCGCCCGTTCCTGCCGCTGTGCCTGGATATGGAGCTTGGTAGGGGGGATCACCCCAGCCTATAGCAGTGGAGGGGGCGAGAGCTGCTGCTGCTGCTGCTGCAGCAGCAGCAGCTGTAGCAGCTGTAACGGGAGGAGCGGCAGCGGTAGCAGCAGCGGTACCTGGTTGAAGAAGACCAGTTGAACTTCCAGGGACGGCTACAGATGCCGAGCCAGTGACAGGGGCGGCGGCAGCTGCTGCTGTAGCAGCTGCTGGTGTTGCTGCCGCCGCCCCTCCTGCTCCTCCTCCTCCCCCTACTGCAATGCTACCAGAATCAACCCCACCATCCGTTCTCCCCCCTACTCCTCCACCAGAGAAAGTTCCCATGTACCCTCGTCCCCCTCTCCCCCTTCTCCCGCCCCTCCCGCGCCCCCCCACCCCCAAACCTGCCGCTGCTCCCCCCCTCCCGCCACCCCCTCCCCTTCCTTCTCCCCCCAGGTCCTGCCATTCTGCCCCTCCCGCCCCGACCCCTCCTGAACCGGCGGCAGCAGCAGCAGCAGCAGGACCGGAAGAGGACACTGCAATACCCTCTATATCATGTGTCACGGTTGAAACCATGCCCGCTGCGCCAGCTGCCCCTGCTGTTGCCCCGGCTCCTCCTGTTGCTGCTGGTGCAGATGGCGCATAGGGAGAGCTGGCGAGAACGCCGGTAGCGGGGATAGGTGCAGTTGCTGGTGCCGACCCCATGACGCCGTGCCAAGGGCTGGAACCAGCAGCAGCAGCAGCAGCAGCAGCAGCAGCAGCAGCAGCAGCGCCTGCCCCTCCTGCTGCTCCTGCTGCCCCTGCTGCACCCTCTGCTTGCTGTGGAGAAGAAAAGAACTGGTCACCAGCACCGTATCCACCCCTTTAATATGGAGAATGGATATGGGGGGGGGGGGAAGGGGGGAGGGGAGGGGGGAGGGGGAGGGGGGGTGATGGGAGGAAGGGGCGCAGACTTGGCATGCGGTTGATGGTACTGAGGGGCATGAGAAAGAAAGGCGCGGAGGAGGTATTCCCAAGCATGCACCTTGAGGCGCCTAAAAAATAGACTCCTCACGGAAGGCGAGGAGGAGGTAACCCAAGCACCTTGGAAAAACGGCGAAGAGCGAGGAGTGCATGTGAAAGGGACGCACGAGGGATTGAACCCTTATGGGCTTGCTTGAAAGCCATGCATAAAAAAAAGAGGTCAAGCGAGACGCCTGAAGGCCGAACCAGAGTTCCATCAGGGCGTACCTTCCGCGGCCACGCCCTCTCCCTCCTCCCCCTCCCCTGGGCCATCCTCCCCCTTCTGCGCCAAAGAACCCGCCCCTGCCTCCCCTCCTGCCGCGACGGCCGCGCCCCTGGATTGGACGAGCGGAACGGGGGAGGGAGCAGAGAGAATGCTTTTGAGTCGGCTCGGAAGCGATTGGAGAAGAAGCAGAATGGGAGAGGAGCGCAGAGAGAGGATGAGGCGCAAACACACGCAAAGAAAAGAAACCGTCGCAGCTTGAAACGAACGTTATGTATCCTCCACACATCACCCAATACGCCCTACGCCATCACTGCACCCGACACCATCCATCCAGTGCACTTCATATCCCTCCTCTCCCACCATCCCTGCATCTTACAGTCTCACACCACCCCTGCATCTCACACCCTCACACCCTCCATCTCACTTCATGCCCCCCCAGTCTCACCGAGAATCCCTGCTGCTGCTGCTGCTGCTGCTCCCACCCGCCGTGCTCCCTGAACCCGTTGCTCTCCTCCTGCTCCAGCTCCTCGAACAGATCGTGCTTCCACTTCTTCTCCTCCCGCCCCGAGTCCCACAGCCGCCGCCCGCCCCTCCCCCTGCAGAGGGCAGCGTACAGCAGCACACAGCAGCACACCGCAGCTCACCGTAGCACACCGCAGCACACCGCAGCACACAGCATCGCACACAAAAGAAAAGGGTTAGTAACAAATCTGAGATATATTTGCGAACTACACTAATATGAGACCAAGGCTGAGTGAAACATTGAGACCGCTATGCACACACAAACGAACGGGCCGTGTTGTCGCAGCAATGCAGTGAAATTCCGAGTTTAAACGGATGTAACTGAAACAGGGCGCATAAGACTGATTCTGAGTTGATCCGACGTGTAAAGTACGCGGGAACCATAGAAATCCCAAGCGCTTGGTGCTGTAGGATAAAAGACTTAGCTTAGCTTTAGGGTAAAAGCTAACTTGACTTCTAGATGCCTTGGGCTACCAGACCAAATGTTTGGCATCCTACTAAACAGTCTACACGAACCGCTCAACATTCAACTCACAACATAGCAGCTTCAGACCGCGAGCTTAGCTAGCGAGAACTACCAGAAAGAACGCTAATGCGCAAGACTGGACTGGCGAGCAAGCACGTCCGCACTTCCCAAACCGAAGCCATGGACGAGGGGCCTCTACACCGATCCTCCCTAAAGACTCAAACCCAGGCCCTCACCCAAACGTACGTCTATCCGAGCTCTAGGATCCGAGAGTGTGGGTTGAACACGCAGCAATCAGAGCACCCGAAAACCGGAATCTTGGAACGAACGAGATCGAGGGGTGGGACCATGGACGTACCTGGACCGTCCTCCCCCTTGGCCTTCACCGAAGCGGTCATCGTGCATATAGAACGCGCCGGAGGTGGGGACCACAAACGGCTCCGCTTCCTTCTTAACCTCCTCTTCCCCCACCCCTTCCGCCGCATCCGCTTCCCCCTCACCGCCCTCCGCCGCAGCACCCCCTTCCGCGGAAACCCCTTCCGCGGAAGCCCCTTCCGCTGCTCCCTCCTGCCCATCCGCTCCAGTCTCCGCTTCCGCGCCCTCCCCCGCGGACTCCCCCCCTGCCCGGTCTACCACCTCCGCGCCGATTTCCTTGCCCGCCTCTGGACCGTTCCCCACCGCTGCCGCCGCGACAGCAATCCCTGGCATCTCCCCGTCAGAACTTGCCACGTCAGCCGCGCCGAGACCGGCATCCTCCTCCGCATAACCGCCAGCCGCGTCATCTAGCCCCTCCGCGTCTTCCACCTCTTCGTAAGCCTCTTCGTACTCGTCTCCTCCTTCCCCCTCCCCGCCTAGGGATCCTTCCTCTTCGTCCTCCTCTCCCTCTTCCCCCTCATCATCACTAGCGCCACGTCGTCTCGGGACCAACGCCACGTCATCCTCTAGATCGCTGTGGTATTCCTCCTCTTCATCCGCCCCTTCCGCCCCTTCCGCCCCCCCGGCTTGCTCGCTGTCGCCAGCTTCTCCAGCTTTCTCGCTTTCGCCAGCTTCGCTAGCTTTCGTGATTCCGCCAGCTTCGCTAGCTTCCGCGGTTTTGCCAGTTTCGTCAACGCCAGCAGTGTCGGCTGTTTCGCCAGCTTCGCCAGCGACTTCTGACGGTAATTGACCTGTGCTTTCTCCAGTGGGGCCTGATGCGGCCTCTACAGGTGCGGGAGAGGCGGACGAAGCAGCTGATTCCGACAATTCATCGACAGTCGATTTAGTTGGTTCTGTTGAAGGTGACGACATGGCGTTGATTGGAAGACACAAAAACGTTACTGCAGCCCCGGCGCAAAACGTCGGAGAAGAAATTTTGAAGTCAGTCGAAAAAATCAAGTCTGGAACGCGTACAGAAAAACTGGAGACTGGATAGCAGGTTATCAACAGCCAAAAAAAATCGGCATGAATGGAACCGAGGTTTTGATGTAATCCGATCTAGACAGCCGAGGGCCAAGCCGTACGGTAGCGCGAGAAACGTTTAGAGAGATCGATCACCCGTTTAATAGCCGCTGCACAAGCAACTGATCGGCATCCTGTACTAGACATAGAACTGAACTGACGGTCGTTGCCGAAAATGTCAAACAGCTATGGGTCCGTGAAATATCTAGGGAGGTGGCGGTTTTTTGGCGGGAGCTTGGTTTGGGGTGCGCAGAAGGGAGGTTGGGGAAGGGAGGTTGGGGGAAGGCAGCGACAGTGTGGCGGATGTTTGCTGCTGAGCAGGCAGGGCTGGGGTGGGGGGAAGGGCTTGGGAAGTGGCAGAATCCTCAGCGCAAGACAAACAGACTTAGGCGGGAGACACTGACGTGGCGCAATGGATGGGGTCAATTGCAACGCGAACAGGACGTGTGGCGCTAGACTAAAAAGTGGACAAAGTGCACTGTAGTATTTCTGCAGAAATCGAAGCAATATAAACATCCTAGTAGTGGTATGTCAATTTCGGGTCCAGAGTCCAGACACATGGGTTATACAGCCGGTTTCTAAAATATTCATGAGAAGAGTTCTATTTTATGATTCAGGAGTTGCAAGTGGGAGGATTCACAACTGGCAGGGCTCTCGACATCAGACAAAATCCGTCTGTTTGTCTGATTTTTAGACTCTTTTTTAGGCGTTCCTCTGATTTTTTAGAAACCTACTTCTAGAATTCCAGAATGTGTGTTCTTGTTCTTCTGATTCTACAGACTTAGCGAATACGTTCGTCTGAAACCGATTACTGTGAGGTTGCATCCAGCCCCCCCAAAATCCCCGCGTGTACAGCAAATCGCGCGACAACACGCCCAGTGGGGCATCATTACTTACAGTTTCGGCGCCAGCACAACGTCGGTGAGACAAGCGCTGAGTCATATGTTGCTCACGGTGTGGCGCCGCAGTGGGCAATTGAGTCAGCCGTGTAGTCTCATTGGCCCATCCCCTTCCAACACACAATGACTCTCCACAGTTGCCCTCAGTGCATCCATGCATTGGCAGCATCTCTCTCCCCCATTGGCTTGTCCTGTTAGACAGGGCAGAGCCCCTCCTATTGGCTTGTCCTGCTAGGTAAGGCAGCGGGGCCTCTCCAATTGGCTTGTCCTATTAGCCATTGCAGCATACTCTCCCATTGGCTTGTCGCAACATGCATTCCTAGCTGGCCTCCCCACGAACCTTCGTCTTAGGGGGAACACTCTAATCTACACCATTGAAACGGCTTGCGGTTCGATGCATGCTGAAAGAGAGGTGGGGAACTCCCTGTCTTCTTCACCCTTCTCTTCGACAAGCTCCCCTGTCCGCCAGTATGCCCTCGTTTCACAATCGTTACCGCACCCATGTTAGACATGCCCCGTAGCGTATCTCACTCGTTTGCTGCGCCAATGAGTTTTAGATGGCTGGCAGCACCACTGATGACGGCGCCGCCGCCATAGCACAGCCTGTTCCTGCTACAGCACCCCTAATGAGGGGCCTGGATTTTCTACGCCAGCCTCCGCCTAGGCGAGAGACGCCAGAGGCCGTGCCCGCGCTAGCTGTTAGTTCCCCAGCCGTGCCTCTGCCTTTCTCTGACTTACTCCCGGACATTGATGCTGAGCCTTTGCTCGCATCCACTCCTGCTGCCTCTCCTAGCTCTCCCATTACTTCCGCGGGGATCCCTTCGCCTCCACTCTCAGTAGCCGCGATCCCAGCGCTGCCTTCAAGACTGCCCGCTGGAAGGTACACGCAAAGCACCATTCGATTTGCGCGTACCCGAGTTCCTCACATCAGGCTAGAGACTTCCCGACCTGCTGCTGATGCAACGCCATCTGCGACCCAAGAGGCGGGAACGTCTGCTTCAGCCTCTGATCCGACGCCGAGCACGGGAAGCCACTCTCGTCTCATCCCCGACCCCGATGCACTTCTTGCAGAACTGAAGGCGAAGGCCGAAGAGCAGTGGGTGCGAAAATTCCCCTGGCTGCTCATCGACCAACGCCCCGACGGACGTCCGTGCATGAAGTGTCGATTGTGCATGGCGCATGCTCCTCCGAAGTGGCAGTACGGCAAATACGGCAATGGAGGTGTCGACATTCAGAAGCAGACTATGGTGAAGCACTCCCAAAGCAAGAAGCACGAGGCTGCGGAGGATCGGCAGAAACAGTTGGATGGTCTAAACGCTGCGCAGCCGAGCATTGCCGATTTCAACGACAATCAGGGAGCCGACGCGCGGCTTAGGCAGTTGATGATTGTTGTGCTTTGGATTTGCAAGTCTGATGCTTCTATTGCCATGTTTGTTTCTCTGGTCCGTCTTCTCTATGACCTCCGCACTCCCCACATCCCCGAGAAATCCCCCGGGTCTTACCAATCTGAGTAAGTTGGGCTCTGCAATCGTTTTGGTCAACTCTAATGTTAAACTCTCTAACCATTGATTTTTTTCCTGCTGCAGGTACGGCTTCAAGCAAATCACAGAAGCACTCGTCGTTTACCTTCGAGCACAGCAGATGAAGCACATTCAACAGTCGCCGTTCGTGGGCATCCAGCTCGACGAGAGCACCGATAGGAGGCGGGGTAAACACATGATTGTGTACCTCACCTTTTTGAAGAACGCGAAGGTGGTGACCGAGTTTTTTGGGCACCTAACAGTTGAGAGGTGTGATGTGACCTCTCTATTGACGCTGCTGCTGGACCACCTTGAAGCCACTGCCGTAGACCTGAACAAAATCAGTGGCATCAGCACTGATGGAGCCAGCGTCATGACGGGGGCGAACCGGGGCCTTGTCGCTCAGCTCCGCGCCAGGGTCCCGCATCTCGTGCCCTGTCATTGCATCGCCCACAGGTGAGATTGTTGAATCATACAGTTGTATGGTGGTACCCTGGCATCCAGAAACATCGCTAATCCTAGTTACGTGCTCTTTGCAGAGAGGCGCTCGCGGCTAAGGACGCTGCCAACGATTGTCCCGACCTCGAGATCGTCGACAAAGTCGTCCGAAGCCTAGCCGACATCCTTGGCCGCTCCATTGTCGTGCACTCAAGATTCCAGGAGCTGCAGAGTTTCATCCACGACACGACACTCGAAATGCAGGGTATCAAAGACATTCGCTGGTTGTCTCGCGGTGATGCCATTCAGCGTCTCGTGCAAGTCTTTCCGGCTGCAGTGTTGCTGTTGTATGAGTTCGATGATGACATGTACCATGTCGTTAGCAGCTTTAAGTTCCACTTTCTTCTGTTTTTCCTGGCTGATGTTCTTAAGGAGCTCAACAACTTGAACAAGAAGTTCCAGCGCCGTGCGGTGAGTGTTTGCCCTGCGTGCGTTTTATATCTTGTTCCTAAAACTTATAAACTCTGCTGTCCCTTCAACTAATTTACCTTATGCCCTTCCCACAGGTCGACATCACCAAGGTGGCCCAGCTAGTAGAGAACACATGCAGCATCCTCCGCTCTCGCTACGTAGAGTATGGCGTCAACTTCGGCGAGGATTCCAAGCTACTCACCGAGTTTTTGGAGGAGCATGGCCCGAAGAACAAGCGGATGGTGACAGTGGAGGGCATTGACGGCGCTGGCAACCCGACGGCTCACACCTTTAAGCTGCACGAGAAAGCTCTGTCAGGCCAGAAGAGTGAGGGAGACATGGAGTCATGCATCTCCCTTGTCACCCTTTTTGTGCAGGCCATCATCCGCAACTTGGAGTCGCGGATGGAGAGCCTCAACAGTCTCCGTGGGTCGAAACTGTTCTTCCCCGACGCTTACCCCGACTCCGTTGCAAAGCGCGACCGTCTGTGCGCTGAGTGGTTCGGTTCACTGAAGGTCCTTTTCAACGCCGAGCAGTGTGCCTTGCCGGGTGAGGATTTCTTCACTCAACCTTACATTAACCATGCACATGGAAGCCCTCACCCCCCTCCCACCTTGTGATGTGTCAGGCTGTGACTTAATGACTTGTGGTTATTTCCCTCCCTTGTTCAGGAGTTGATTGGGGCAAGGCGGAAAGGGAGCTGCCTCGATTCACGCGCATGCTCCACGGTCATTACAAGGATACGTCATTCCACAACTGCTTGAAGAACATTCTCAGATCCGAAGACTGGCGCACCTCCTACCCCAACCTCGTCCGCTTGTGAGTGGCTATTGCTGTTCTGCCTCTCAGCACAGTAGAGTGCGAGCGTGGCTTCAGCCGCCAGAACATCATTAAGTCTTGGTTGCGTGTAAATTTGTGCGATGCCCGACTGACCGACTTGATGTGCATTTCGTTGTTAGAGTACCCGATGATGTGGGAAGATGTCATGGCTAATTTCCGTGCTTCAGTGCAGCGGCGGCAGGCAACAAATGTCGTGATGCCCCCGGCTGAGCCGCCTCTCAGCCAGAAGAGGAAGAAAGACAAGGCGGTCAGCAAGAAGATGAAGAAGCGTCTTAAGAACGATGATGAGGCCGTAGATGTGCGCGGCACTATAAATGTAGATTGTGATTCTGATTAGGTAAATGGCTTAATGATGTGGTGAAATATCATTGTGGCCTAATGATTAGGTAAAAATTTAGAAATGTTAAGCCGAAACTTCTGATCTCGTAGAAACTCTACTCTAAAACCTCTGATTATTCAGAAACTGAAAGATCGGGCGTCTGATGATCGCCTAGAAAGTGGAAAATGCCTAGCGAGAGCCCTGACAACTGGATGCAAGTGTAAAATTTAGTGTGATTTATCTAGGAAAGCGATGTTAATTAGTCAGAACGGTAAAGTTGGACATGGCAAGGTCAAGTTCAGTACTTCGTCTAAACGAATCAGCTCTCCTGGGATGCTGGAGATGCCATGCCAAATGCCATCACTTCCATTCATCCCAACCATCCATCCCCCCAGTCCGTCCCCCCAGTCGGCCCAATGTCAGTTCCGCTCTACCCAAGACGCCAGAGCGCCCCCCGCTCCCCCGCTAAAACCTTTCCCGTGCCTCCGCCTCACCCCTCCCCCGCGCTTGGGGCTGCCTCCGAAAAGATGGGACGGAGTGTACAGTACAGTGTATGTACACCTTTGTACTGTACGGTACATACAGCTACAGTAATATTATCGTCATGTCGATTTCAAGCTAACACGTGGGTTCTTCTAGAAGATTCCACTTATGACTGTCCCTCCGACCTTTTGTTACATCTGATCTGCTTCATCCTTCGCATAGCTGCAAGTCCCTGATTTGCGCGTGACGCGTTGGGCGGGGAGTCTGTCAATGCGATGCGCAGTATTTGCAGTCACATCTACTGGGTATCCATAGTCTAGTTTCCTGCGGAACAAGTTGGCTGCATTTCTTACGTTACGTCATTCACGACGAGGCGGTTCCCAGGTTTAGGATCGGCGTCGCCGTTGATCACCGTTGATCACCGTTGAACGCCGTTGATCGCCGCTGATCGGATCTTTTCAGATCCGTGGTTCTTCTGGCCTGGAAGTCCAAGGCTGGATCGCCTGGCTCCTGGATCGCCAGGAGTTGCCGATAAGGCGTTGAAATACGAGGGCTTCCTGTAATTGCTCATTCAACCTCACGAAATCCGAAACTTGATTCCTAGGTGGGCAGTTATAGCCATGTCTTCTTCGTTTTGGCCAATGTTGGTCGCCATATCTAGTCCGATTTGGGGTGTTATCGCTTTGCCTCGCTCTCTTCTCGGTGAGTTTTAATTTGAAACTGTTCTTTTATGGTCGGCACATCAGGCATACGGGCTCGCGAAATTGACGTTTCTATCTTGTTTGAGAACGCCTGGTTGTAGGGCACATCGCGCACGCCAAATCTCAGAGCCGTTTTGCAAGGTGTCGTCTCAGATCGGTCTCTTGAGCTGTTTTGGCTTGTCCTGCTCGCTGCTACTGCGATTCCTCGTTTCGCGAAGCTGCATTTTATCCACTTATCCTCCTCCGTTCTCTGCTATCCCGTTCCACCACTGAGTGCGTGCATGACTTCCCTCCAACCATCCCTCTTCCCCCCCCCTCTCCAGCAGCCATGGGTAACCAGCTGCTGGCGACCGTGCCGTTGCTGCTGTCAACAGCCGGCGCGCTGCTGATTATGCGCAAGAGTCGACTCAAAAGTCATCCCCCTCCAATTCCCCTTTCCCGGGTATCTTCGCCTCTTGTTTCTTCCAGAAGCCATGGGTAACCAGCTGCTGGCGATCGTGCCGTTGCTGGGCCTCTCGATAGCCGGCGTGCTGCTAATGATCCGCAAAAAGCGGAGGGCGATCCCCTCGGACTGGGGCGCCATTTCCGAGAAAGTGGAGCTGCTGCCGCCTCCGCCGCCGCCACCGCCGGCTGCGCCGCATCCGCTGACGGGGCTCACATTCGTCATTAAGGACATGTAAGGGGGTTCTAAGTTAGTTGCTAGTTAAAGCCAGGGACCCAAGTTTCTCGAACCGGGGGCAAGTGCTTTACAATTGATTGGAAAAAACCAGGTTTTGTGTCGTGAGGGCGCGTGAATGAGCAGGTTGCGGTTGGCTTTCGCTAGCCAATCTGAGCGCGCAAACCAGCTGTAAAACAAGGTCCCAAAACTTGAGTCTTCGAGGTTCCTCCCAAAACAACCCGGGACACAGGGGTCGCGAGGGCCAGTGACGAAAAAATCGAAGCAGACGAAATTGCAACACTCGCAGCCGATTTCGCTGGTGCCTACCATTCGTCGGCCAATCAGTAGTTTTCGTCCCAACCAACTGTTTTACAGTTGGTAAACTTGGGTCCCTGGCTTTAAACGCTAGTCACGTTGTTGCTGCGTTTGGATATGGTTTCGGATTGTCAAATGCGGGTTCCTACTCTGGTTCCTACCTACCTACTAATGTGGGAGGGAAGCATTATCGTCACTGCCAATGTACGTCCTAAGTGGCCGACCTTTTCTATCTGCACTGCACTGGTGTGTTCAAACTTACTTAACCCTGGCAGTTTCGACGTGGAGGGCCACGTGGCAGGGTTCGGGTGTCCAGCGTGGAAGGCGAGCCACGCCCCTGCCACGCAGACGGCGCCGTGTGTGCGCGAGCTGGTGGAGGCAGGCGCGCAGCTGGTGGGGAAGACGCACATGGACGAGATGGCGTACAGGTGCGGGGGCGGGGGGAGCGGGGGAGAGGGGGGGAAGGTGAGGTGTGGGGTTGGCTTCTGGGTCGAGATGGGTACAGGTGAGGGAGGAGAGGGGGTGGGGGGGAATGGAGAAAGGCTTGTGGGTTGATACATGTGGCACTTTCAGATGGCGTAAAGGCGAGCCACGCCCCTGCCACGCAGACGGCGCCGTGTGTGCGCGAGCTGATCGAGGCAGCCGCGCAGCTGGTGGGGAAGACGCACATGGACGAGATGGCGTACAGGGTGCGGGGGTGAGACTCGTGGGGGGGGGAAAGGGGGGGAAGGGGGGGAATGGGGGGAAGAGGGGGGGGGGGGGAGGGGGAGAGGGGGGGGGGGGGGGGACTTGGGGGATGTTGGGGTTTTGAAGCGTCTCGAAGCCAGGCGCGCAGCTGGTGGGGGAGGTCGCACATGGACGAGATGGCGTACAGGTGAGAGCAAGGCCCTGGGCACGCCAGTGAACCCAGTGTGTCCCGCCCATTTCCACTGTGGTACTGCTTCCGCTCCTCCTCCAATCTCTATGCCCAATCCTCCTCTGGCCTCCCAGCATTGCAGCATCTCTGGGGAGAACAAGGCTCTGGGCGTTCCAGCGAACCCACTGTGTCGCAACCACTTTTCCTTTGCTACTTTCCTCCCCCTCAAACTATCTCGCCTTCCCTCGGACCCCTCCCCCCCCTCCCTGACCCGTCCACTCCCTCGGGCCTCCCTGCATCGCAGCATATTCGGCGAGAACAAGGCCCTGGGCACGCCAGTGAACCCAGTGTGCCCCGACCACGTGCCAGGGGGCTCCTCCAGCGGCTCTGCGGTCGCCATCTCTGCAGACCTTGCTGACTTTGCGCTTGGTATGGCCAACCCAAACGCTCTGGGACCCCGTGTTGGGGGGCTTGGGGGGGGCTGGAGGGTTGGGGAAGGGAGAGAGGGAGAAGGGGGGGAGTGGAGAGGGGGGTGGATAAGTGGAGGCAGTGATTCAGGAAGTATCTCTCGCCGGATCCCAACACGAGTGGCCCTCCCTGTCGTTGCTCGTTTCCCCCTGCTCCGCCCCCAAGTCCTTGTCGCTCGCTTTATCCTCGCTTTCTTGTACGCTCGGCCACATAAGGCCCCAGGGTCCCCCGCCCGTTGCTTTCACTCCCTTCTTTCCAAGTCGTCAGTCTGTCAGTCCGTCCTTTCCTTGTCTTTCTTTCGCCTCTCCCCTCCTCCGTGGCTCCTTCCCCCGCCCCCTCCAGGCACGGACACGGCAGGTAGCATTCGCATCCCAGCAGCGTTCTGTGGCGTGCTGGGGTACAGACCATCGCATGCAGCCATCTCTGCTGCTGGCTGCGTGCCCATGGCGCCCTCCCTTGACACTGTCGGTAAGCTTTTATTTGCGAGCTTTTGATAAGGCTTCAGAGCAGGTGCTTCAGTGCAGCCATCTCTGCTGCTGGCTGCGTGCCCATGGCGCCCTCCCTCGACACGGTTGGTACGCATGCATGTCACTCTCTCTTTGACTCCTGTCAAAAGTATGCCGGCCATCTTGTGCTGCCATCCGCTCCTTCTGCTGCATCGACATAATCTTGGCACCGTTGGTAGGCATGCATGCGCTGGCTAACTTTACCTTTCTCCTTTTCACTCCTCGCCCTCTCCCCCCCCTTACCCCCCCCATGCGCTGCGCTCCCCCCCCTTTCGCTGTTCAGCTTCTGCTTGCTTTCATGACGAATTCCATTCCACCGTTCTGCTCCTCTGCGCGACTAATGAAAGCACTGCATGACTTTTAAAAGTCATGCGTGACTTTTAAGAGCTTTGCGTGATCTTTAAAAAACCGTGCGTGACTTCTAAAAGCTGTTTGTGACTTTTAAAAGCTATGCATGACTTTTAAAAGCTTTGCGTTGATTTTTGAAAGCTGTGCGTGACTTTTAAAGCTATGTGTGACTTTCAAAAGCTATGTGTGAAATGTAAAAGCTATGCGTGAAATTTAGAAGCTATCCGTGACTTTTTAATGTTTTTTTCCCATTGCGCCCTCCCTCTTCTCCCGATTCCCTCGTCCAATCATCCCTCTTTCATCCTCTACCCACCCACCCCCCCCCCCCCCCTGCGCCCCCCCCACGTCACGGTCCTCCACCCCGGTCCTGCTCAACCCCTCCTCCCCCAACCCCCACCAGGTGTATTTGCAGCGGATCCAGCAGTGCTGCGACACGTGGGGCACATTCTACTGCGCCAGCCCTTCACGTCCCCTCTCACAACCCATTCCTTCCCCACTCCTTCCCCATTTCTCTCTCCCCCCTCCCGCTCGGTCCCATCCCTCCTTTTATCAGGTGTGTTCGCAGCGGACCCAGCAGTGCTGCGGCACGTGGGCCACATTCTGCTGCGCCAGCCCTTCACGCCCCCCCGCCGCCCGCTCTCACTCTACCTGGCGGACGACCTCTTTGACCTCTGCTCCATCCCCCGGCGCCACGTCACAGAAGCCGTGCTCTCCGCCGCCGAGCACCTCTTCGGCCGTGAGTCCCTTGGGGGGGTCTGGTGGCAGTCTGGGGGGGGCTCTAGGGGGGTCTGGGGGGGGCTCTCCTCGGCGGAGCACCTCTTCGGCCGTGAGTGCCAGGGGGTCTGGACTCTGGAGGGGCGGGGAGGGTAGGGTGGGGAGGGGGGGAGTCTCTCTGTGGGACGCAGAGAGAAGCAAGCCTTGTCCAAGGTTGTGAGAGCCTGTCCAAGGTGTGTAAGTGCGTGTGCCACCTGCCTGCCTGCCCGCCCTGTGCGCTCACCAGGGGGCTTCTTGTGAGATGTAAGTGCAGGTGGGCTGGGGCAGGGCCTGCTGCTGCTGCTGCTGCTGCTGTGCAAAGTGCAACCACATCCATCCACTCCCCGTTTGTGGCCCATTCTCCCCACCCACGCATACCGCCTTGTCAAAGCCCTGTCCTGCCCCATTCTCCCCACCTTTCTAACTAACACCCCCCCCGGCTTCTGCCCATGCAGCCACAGTGAAGTGCGTGCAATTGGGGCAAGATCTGCTGCTGCTGGCTAGGTGCAACCCCCAAACGTTGCCATTCACCCCCCATCAGCTCGCCGGCCTGCCCATTCTCCCCAACCCCCTCACAACCCCCTGCCCGTGCAGCCACAGTGAAGGACGTGCAAGTGGGGCAGGATCTGCTGCTGCGCAAAGGGCGACTTACCCCGTCACACCTCTCATCTCCCCCACCCCTCCCTTCCTCCCCCCACACCTCGTCCCTCTGTGCCCTAACCCCAGCCATAGTGAAGTACGTGCAAGTGGGGCAGGATCTGCTGCTGCGCAAGGTACCAGCCATCCAGCACTTTCTCAACCTCCTGCCGCCACCAGCAGCACCACAGGGCAACAGCAGCACCACCGACAGCAGCAGCAGCAGCAGCAGCAGTGGGAGGAGAGCAGCAGAGGAGGGGAAGCGGGCGTTGCAAGCGCTAGCAGAAGCGATGAAGCTGTTGCAAAGGTGCGTTTTGAGATGACGCGTGAGGGAGTCCATTTTTGAGGCGCCTCAAAAATAGACTCCTCAAGCAGAGGAGAGGAAGCGGGCGTTGCAAGCGCTAGCAGACGCTATGAAGCTGTTGCAAAGGTGCGTTTTGATGAGACGTCTCAAAAGTGAACTACTTAGCAGCAGCAGTAGGAGGAGAGCAGCAGAGGAGGGCAGATGAGCGTTGCAAGCGCTAGCATAAGCCATGAAGCTGCTGCAAAGGTGTGTGGCTCTTAAAAAAAAAAAAAATCACAATCACAGTTCCCAGGGAAAAAAAAAAAAAAAAAAAAAAAAAAACGTCGTCTGAATCTTTTCTTTTCCACGTGCTGACGTTCCTCCTTGTAAACACCGACCCCTCAGCAGACACAAGCCGTTGAACCCCCAAACCCTCGTTTCTTCTCTGCAGACATGAGTTTCACTCTCTTCCCTCAACCCGAGACTCCATGCCCCAAGCCTTACGGCCTAAACCCTTTCCGGGCTAATCTGGTCCTTCCGTTTTCCTGATACTGAAACGCTCCACCCTCTCCACCACCCCTTCCCTCCCCCGCCTCCTCACGCCTAACCCAGACACGAGTTCCGCACAGCCCACCTGGCGTAGATGCAGCAGGTGCAGCCGAAGCTGCAGGCGGACGTGCAGGTGCACCTGCAGGCAGCCGTGGATGCAGACCCGGAGGAGCCCATGTTAGAAACTCCGTGCACTCCTTGCAGTTCAGTGTGCTGCCACGCGGGCTGGCCACTGTGCTGCCAAAAGAGACAGCCCAAGCCAACCCTGGCCAATCTGCACGCCCTTTCACCCACAGTTGCTTCCCCCCTCCCCCCCCGTTTTCCCCTTCCCCCTTTTCCTCCTCTTCACCCCCCCCTAACGCAGACACGAGTTCCGCACGGCCCACCTGGCGTGGGTCCAGCAGGTGCAGCCAAAGCTGCAGGCGGACGTGCAGGTGCGCGTGCAGGCAGCCGTGGACGCCGACCCGGAGGAGCTCGCGATCCATGCAGCCCAGGCGCAGCTCGTGCGAGAGCAGCTGAGAGCGGCTATCACAGACCTGTGCAAGGTGAGAGGAAGGGGGCAGTCGGGCTGGAATACAGAGGTGCGCAGGGCTACGGTGTTTGGCTCTTGACCATGCAGCCCAGGCGCAGCTCGTGCGAGAGCGCTGAGGGTGGCTGTCACAGACCTGTGCAAGGTGAGAGGGGAAAGGGGGCTGGAGCACAGAGGTGCGCAGGCGGACGTGTAGGTGTGCGTGCAGGCAGCCGTGGATGCAGACCCGGAGGAGCTCGCATGCCATGCAGCCCAGGCGCAGCTGGTGCGGAAGCAGCTGAGGGCGGCCATCACGGACCTGTGCAAGGTGAGGGGTGGAGGGGTAGAGGGGGGAAGGGGGTAAGGGCTGGATTACAGAGGTGTGCAGGGTTTCGGTGTTTGCCAATGAGTCGACTCAACAGCATGCAGACCAGGCACACCTGGGGTGGGAGCAGCTGAGGGCGGCTATCACAGACCTGTGCACAGCTTTTGAAAAATCCTATTTCCAGAGCTTTGTTTTAATTCCTTTCTCGTCTGCTCTTCCTTTCTCCTCTTCCTTCACCCCATTCTTTATCCCCTCCCCTTTCCCCTAGTCTATTCCACCACTCTCTCTTCCCAAGTCATCATCACGTTCCCCTCCTCTCACCCTGCTCCTTCTTTCCCTCTCCCCCCCACCCCCCCACCCAACCCCCCTTCCCCCTCTTCCTTCCCCTCTTCCTTCCTCTCCCCCTTCCTTTCCCCCTCGCTCCCCTCCGCCCCTTCCTCTCCCTCTCCCCCGCCCCAGGGCGATGGTCTGATAGCGTTGCCAGTGACGCCTGACTTCCCCCCCAAGCTGCGCGCCAAGCCCCAAGTGCTGGACGAATTCAGAGCCGCTGCCATGCTGCTCGTGGCGCCTGGCTCCATGTCCGGCTGCCCACAGGTAGAGAGCCTGCTTTTCTGCTCTGTTTTTTTTTTTTTTTTTTTTTTTGTGCGCGCTTAGGGTGCCTCTGCTATGCTGTTGGCTGGATAGTGTGGAGTGTTCTCTGCACATTTATATAGTGTGGTGTGTTCTCTGCACAAATATATAGTATGGAGTGTTCTCTGCACACTTGGTCAAACTGGATGTTTTACACCTATATCGCATCAACCCCACTCCTCCCCACTTAGTCTCAACTTTCTTGCACCCACCTCCGTACGCACGTGTCGCTCCCACAGGTGACAGTGCCTATAGGGCGTATGGAGTGTTCTCCCTCGGGTCTGCCTCTGGCGGTGGGTGTGATGGCCCGCCATGGCGCTGACCGCTTCCTGCTCGACTCGGTCACTCACTTCGCCCCTGCCGTGCAAGACGCTTACAAGGTGAGGGCTGGGGGAAGGGTGGGGGGGGGGGGGGGGGTGTTAATTAAAGGGAATGTCTCGAGGCGACAAGGGGGGCTGATAAGAGGGAGGGGGGGATTATAAGGGGGGCATTATGAGGGGGGCATTATGAGGGGGGCATTATGAGGGGGGATTATGAGATATTCGATGGGATGCTTGTAAGCAGATGCTTGTGAGGGGAGGTGTAAGGTGAGGAGTTTGTTTTTGAGGCGCCTGAAAAATAAGCAGATGCTTGTGGGGGGAGTTGTAATGTGAGGTGGTTTCTCCCTCGGGTCTGCCTCTGGTTTGCCATAGTGCTAATCGCTTCCTGCTCGAATCAGTCACTCACTTCGCCCCTGTCGTGCAAGACACTTACAAGGTGAGGGGTTTGTGCGTGTGCGTGTGTGTGTGTGCATGTGCATGTGTTTGTGCATGTCAATGGGCACATCCCATTCTTGTGCGCACTGCATGAATTTGTGTGCTGCTGTAACCTCCCACATCTCTGTTCTCCCCAATGCCCAAGTCGTGTCAAAACGTTATCCTGCGTTTATGTGCCTGTGCCACTGTGTCGGTCCCCCTGCCTGTGTGTGCCTATGTGTTCATGTGCCTGTGCAGGCAGTGCTGCCTAAGCTCAGCAAGTCCCAAGCCGCCACATCCTCGCCAGCACCAGCAGCGCCTGTGCTCTCACAAGCAGAAGCCGCCAAAGAAAAGGTGGGCTGGTATCTCTGTTGCAACATGCAACATTGGTGTTTCTTGACTCGACTGAAAAAGGTGGCTGGGCTCCCTGCTACGCTTTCTTTAAACCTCTTACCTTGTCACTACCCTCTCTCCCTGCCCTCTTTTCTCCTGGCGCATCCATTCCCTCCTGGCCTCTCTCCTCTTGTCTTTTCATCTCTCTCCCTCACACTCTTCCCTCCCCTCTCCCTTCCCCTCTGCTCCCCCCCCTCCCAGGGTAACAAGGCGTACAAGCAGAAGAAGTACCAGGAGGCGGTGGACCACTACACAGTGGCCATCAGGCACGACAGCAAGAACGCCACCTACTACTCCAACCGAGCTATGGCGTATCTCAACCTGCACAAGTGAGTCTGAGAGTAGTAGTGCACTAGTGCCGTGGAGGCACACGCACCGCCCGTGGAGGCACAAGTACCCCCTGTGCCCTGTGAGAGCGCCCCCCGTCTCCAGTAGGAGCACTCCCTCGAATACTCCAACCGCGCTATGGCGTACCTCAACCTGCACAAGTACGCGAGCGAGCGACTGTGGGAAACGAGGGGGAACAAACAAGCGCCTCTTGTGCCCCGTCTCTGGTTAAGATGCCCCTCTAGCGAAAGCGCCACCTACTACTCCAATCGAGCCATGGTGTACCTCAACCTGCACAAGTGAGTTCAAGTGGTGTAGATTGGGGTGCGCGGCGTGCCGATGGTGGAACATGTGCTTTGAGGTGCCGGGCCTCTAGCAAGAACGTCACCTACTACTCCAACCGAGCCGTGGCATACCTCAACCTGCACAAGTGAGCGAGCGAGCGACTGTGAGAAACGAGGGGGAACAAGCGTTTCTCGTGCCCCGCCTCTGGTAAAGATGCCCCTCCTCTAACAAAAGCGCCACCGCTTTTTCCCAGCTTGGGTATTTCCTCAAAAGCAGCTTTTTCAAGCTGCGTTGTACCTGGATATGAAAAGAAGAGTGGGGGAAAGCGCTTTCCCAAGACACAGGTTTCCCCTCTGCTGTGTTCTATCACTGGTGCAATACCATTTTCCCTCCTGTCCCGCTGTCCCCTCGCTCTTTCTCCCTGCAGCTTTGAGCAGGTGGAGGCGGACTGCACGGCAGCACTTAGTCTCGACAAGAAGGTCAGTTGGTCTGTGCTGCCCTGTGCTGCTCTGTGCTGCTCTGTGCTGCTCTGTGCCGCTCTGTACCGGTCTGTGCTGCTCTGTGCTGCCCTGTTCTGCTCTGTGTTGATCTGTGTTACTCTGTGTCGGTCTGTGCTGCTTTGCGATGTATCAGCAGCAAGAGCAGAGAAAACAGCCTGATGTGACTGTTCTGGCTCACTGTTCCAAAAGCTGTGGAGAGTTGACCATGTGGAAATGAGCCAGGGAAATGGAGAGCTTCTCTCTGTGCCCTTTTTGCAATGATCACGTGAGGATTCTATCTTAAGGCTCAAAAATAGACTCCTCATGTGGAAATGAGCCAGGGGAATGGAGACTTTCTCTCTGCGCCCCTTTTGCTATGATCACTCTGCAGCGGCACCCTTAGAAGAAGGCACCGCAACCATTTTCTGGTTTGTGCTCCCTTCCTCCTGCAGCCCGCTTTTGCAATCCGTCCTTCCTGTCCTCTCCTTAACCGTAAACCCATTCTTCACACTCTACTCCCTTTTCCTTGGAATCCCCCCTCTCTTCCCCTCCCCAAACCCCCCTTTTTCCCCCCCCCTCCCTCCCCCTGCCCTGTACTCTGTGTGTGTGTGGTGTGTGCCTGGTGTGTTTCCCCCCACCAGAATGTGAAAGCAATGCTGCGTGGAGGAACAGCAAGGGAGATGCTTGGGTTCTACCCAGAGGCGTTCATTTTCTAGGCGCCTCAAAAATAGACTCGCCCTACCCTGTGTGTGCGTGGTGCATGCCTGTGTGTCCCCCATCCCCCCCTTTCACCACCAGAATGTGAAAGCCATGCTGCGTAGAGGAACAGCAAGGGAGATGCTTGGATTCTACCCAGAGGCGTTTGAAGGTACTTGCCAGTCTGTTCTAGACATGGGCAAAGTGCGATTGCGATTTAAATCGCATCACATTGGGGGGCGATTTAATTAAATGCGATGCAATTTTAAATCGCATGGCGCGATTTAATTTCTGGAAAAAAAAAATCGCACATCGCGTTTTGCGCGCGGTGAATATTAAAACCGCATGTGGTATTTAATTAAATCGCGCGATGCGATTTTGAAATCGCGTTTTAAAACAGAATGAAAAACACACAAAAAACCAGAAAAAACCATGGCTTCCGGGAAAATGAATCACGGACAGTCGTAAGCTAGAAAAAAAAAAACTAGTGTGGTTTCGTAGTGGGTTTCAGAGTGGGTTTCACTGCGACATCGTGTGCGGTTTTTTTTTAAATCGCATATCGCATTTAAATCGCGTTTTTTAGTGCGATTAAAATGCGATTTAAAGTAAATCGTGCGATTGAACAATTCATCGCATCGCACGATGATTTAAAAAATCCGCAATCGCAAAAACGCGATTAAATGAGATGTGATGCGATTTTTTTTGCCCATGTCTAGTCCGTTCCCCTAGGTCTATCTTGCTAGTTTCGTTGTCAGTCACTCTCACTATTCTTTTATGTTTTTCTCTCTTCCTCCCGCCTCCCTGCTCCTTCTCCGGACTCTCCCTCCCGTCCTCCCTCCCTCCCTCCCTCCCTCCCTCTTTCCTTCTCTCTTCTTTCACTTCGGCATGCATTCGCACTGGCTTTTCCCCACACTTGTCTCGCTTTCACATCTCGACCCCATTCAGAAAACGTCATTCACTCTCCCATGCATCCTCCACCCTCCACCCGCCACCATCCTTCCGCCCCTCCTCCGTACAGACTTCAGCCAAGCGTTGGTTCTAGAGCCCACCAACAAGACAGCGTTAGAAGCAGTGACTAGGATGAGGGAGAGTGGGATAGCTTGATGAGGGGTAAAGATGAGCTACAGGGCTGACGGGCTGGGAGATGAGCTACAGGGGGGATGGGGGGGGAGATGAGCTATAGGGGGGAAGGATACTTGACGGGGGGAAAGATCATCTGAATAAAGGGGTGGGGTTTGCTTGAAGGCACGGCTTGGTCATGGCTTGGACTCGGCTTGGACAGGAGAGAGAGTTGGGATGGCAGGGAGGGAGCAGATGCAGAGGGAGCACATGAAGTTCACATGCATGAGCGGTGGAGAATGGGTAGTGCAGGTATCTCGTCGACGTGAGTGTGAGACGTCTCGAATCCGGAGGGACATGGAATTGGAATGGAACGGAATGGGCGGTGCAGTGCAGCCTGCAGGAGGGTAGTGTGTTTGAGTCACCTTAAAAGCAGCTGGAATGGAATGGGCAGTGCAGCCTGCAGGAGGGTAGTGGACTTGGCAGGCATGCAGGCACGCATGCAGGCAGGCAGGCATGGGGAGCATGTCTGTTCTGTTCTGCTAGCCAATATGGTAGCCGAATGAGGAGCTGGAGAGCAGCAGTTATTTCTCGCTAGCTACCCTTTGCCGGTAGTACCTACGGTAAAAAGAGAAGGAATGTGCTGGTCAGTTCAGCAAAGCTCCCCTATAGGTTGGCCTGTTGAGAAGCAGTGAGTGAGGGCTCAGTATTGCCTCTCTGGGATGCTGTGTGCTGCCTGAAGGGTACCATACCGTTCCAAGTGAGATCCCATAGGTGGCATCCCATAGGATAGGATACTGTGTATCTCAAAAGAACACAATGAACTAGAATGAGTGATACAGGGTGGTTTTGTCCCAAGGAGTTGTCTTCTGTATGAGCATGCACCTAGCTAGCCTCCTACATAGGCAAGGGGTTAAAGACCAGTCAGCAAGAGTACATAGGAAACAAGAGTAACACAGGGCGGAACTACTAGTCCAGCCACCGGAACGGGAGTCACATGGCCAATCAAGATAATACAAAATATAGTACACAATCAAGGTCCTAGCAAGTGAAAAGCTACAGGAACTAGACCAAACTGTGTACATAGTGTCGCTGATGATCTTTAGGCGCAAACGCCTTCGTAAAGATATCAGCTGTGTTGGCACCGGAGGTCAAGTGAACTATGCGGGCCTGGCAGCGTTGCTGTAGCTCGCGCAGGAGGAAGTACCGCCGCTGGACGTGCTTCCCTGTGCCCTCCAGCCGAGGCTCCTGACACAGGAGGATCGTGGCCCTGTTGTCAGCATATAGGACCGGGGCAGAGCTAAGCCTGTGAGCAAGAAAGTCAGCCAGCGGAGCTCCTGTGCCGCCATGGCACCAGCGTAGATCTCAGCCTCACAGCTAGACTGGGCAAAAGACGACGAGCGAGTGGACCACCACGAGGTGGCGCCAACACCAAGGCTAAAGCAGTAGCCTTGGGAGGACCTGAGCGTCTCAGCGTCGTATGCTGACGAAGCGTCTGTGAGCCTTGTAAGGACCACTGGCCTTCGTCCTCCTAGCACTAGCCCCATGCCCGATGTACTCGCTAGATAACACAAAACCCTCTTAGCGGCCGACCTATGCTGTGGTCGGTGTCTGCCTGTTGCCACAAAGCAAGCCAGGATGCTGAGAGGGTATGCGAGATCTGGACAAGTGCAAGTCATTAGGTACATGAGGCAACCCACCAGCTTTGCGTAAGGACCACTAGGCTTTAGAGACTCATCAGGGACTGGAGCCGAGAGCCTGTGATCTACTGGCAGAGCTGTGGGCTGTGTAGAGGAGAACTAACGACCAAATCTCTGAAGGACCTGGCGCACCAAGTGCGACTGTGTAAGACTGATAATGCGCGCTGCTCTGTCCTTGGAGATCTGCAGGCCAAGGTAGCGATGCAACTCTCCTAGGTCAGTACAGGTGTGTCTCCTCAGTAGCTCAGCCTTCACGGAAGCCAGTGCGTCTTTGTCTGCAGTAGTGAAGACCAGGTCACCTACGTAGAAAAGGAAGTAGAACGGGGTCTGGCCAGAACGAACGAAGAGCGAGGGGTCTGCAGACGACGGGAAGAACTGCAGGTCAGCTAACATCGCACGCAGCGTGTCGTGTCACTCACAAGGCGCCTGCCGCAGGCCGTAAACCGGGCGCCGGAGGAGCCACTCGGTACGAGGGGCGATGGTGCCGGTGAAACCGGGCGGACGGAGCAGGTAGACCTGCTCGTGCAGAATGCCCTGGAGAAACGTTGTGAGAAGTTGAGTGAGTGCAGCTCGTAGTCACGCTTTGTGCTACGTGTAGCAACGCCTAAAGAGTGGTCATCTTCGGGGTCAGGGTGAAGGTCTGAAAGAAATCAAAACCCTCGCGCTGACTGAGGCCTCTAGCAACGTAGCGCGCCTTGAACACCGACGGCTCTCCAGGAGGGCGCTTCACCTTGATGATCCACTGCCCATTGACTACGTTCACAACAAGTGGGGGAACTGCGTCGACGTAGGTACATGTGGACGTCCAAGATGACATCTCCGCGTCCATGGAAACTATCAACTAAGATGCCCAGGGTCCCGAGGGCCCCCTAGAGTTAGTCGAATCCTCCACAGGGACAACCGACGGGATTTAGGGTTTAGGGATAGCGGGATTCGGGTTTTGGGTTTTGGGTTTAGGGTTTAGGGATAGCGGGATTCGGGTTCAGGGTTTAGGGTTTAGGGAATGAGGGGCATGGCGCAGCCGACCCTCGATGCAGGGCGTGCACGGTGGCACAAGTGAGGGAGGGAGGGCAGGGAGCGATGCAGGGAGACCCTAAGACAAGACCGTGCTGGGACATGTGACGCAGACGTGGGAGTGTGAGGTGACCCAAGCGGTGGTGCCACAACAGCGACAGGCGGGTGAGTGACCGACAAGAGCAAGCCACAACGACCTGGGAGGGCGCGACCACCTGGGGGGGCGCTCCCACCAGGGTGAACGCGGTGTCTAGAGTGAACAGGCCAGACATCAGGTCTCGGTGGAACGTGGTGAGACAGGAACCAGAGGCGGTCTCGGTGCTGACTGCGTATCGCTCGTGTCCAGGAAACGTAGTGGTGGCGCCGAGGTCCTAAAGACAGTCGACACGAACTAGGTTCCTGGAGAACGAGGGGATGAGCAGGCGTGTAAGGGAGCCCGAGGGAACTGCCGGACAAGGAAGGGTATTGGAGCTATGTGCAACTACCGGACCTGAGGAGGGGTCAGCAAGCGCTATAGCGGCAGGGGCGGCGAGTGGTGTGAGCGTAGTGTGGTCGCGAAAGAAGCAAGCGGACAGTAGTGGCGTTCGAAGGCGGAGGAGCTAGAGTGGAGCCGAGGCTAAACAAGGTAGGTGGTCCTACGACTCACGCTGCAGGGGAACCTAGGCTACACACAGTGGACACACCTTCACTAGGCAAAATAGGGTAATAGGGTCCTGTCACACTAGAGTCATCAGCATATATAACATACATAGCAGACCTAATCTGATCCATATCCAGCTCAAAGACAGGTACAAGATGACGCACCAGGCTGTACCTGTCACAGGATCGAATGTGTCGAGGAAAGGTTTTCTCAATGTTGCACTATCAATCAGTACAAGGTGCTTTTATACTTCCAAGATACATCAGGTAACCAGGTTTATCATATCCAAAGGAAATAGACCCTTCTAGAAATAGAATCACCCTGCGTATAGCCACACGAGGCTATTGGCTTTAAGGGATTACGGCAGGATTACGCTAGATATAGCGCGCCAGTACATCCCGAGCCTGGTCGGTGATATAATTATAATAACAGGATAAACCAAATGATAATGGAAAATGAGGAATAGGAAGCCAAATGAGATGAGATAAAAGAAGGAATGAAATGAAAAGGAAATATGGAAAGGAGAAAATAGTGTAACGGGGTCGTACTCTCACAGTACCATTCAGGGGGTCCGACGCGGGGCCGAAGCAGAGACGGAAGAGTTCGTCGAGTCGGCGGTAGCAGCGGGCGGCGGTGTGAGCGGGACGGTCGCAGACGGTGCCACGGCGGGGGCCGGACTGAAGCTGGTACTGGCAAGTGACCACATAGGAGCTGCCATGTGACACCGAGCTGTGCGGTCCACCACCAGCGCCGCCTAGCCACCACGGTGGCGGGGGTCCCTACGGCGGCTGCTGCTTCGACCGCTGCTGCTGCTGCTGCTCATGCTGCTGCACCGAGGCATCAGCCCTGGTCCCCTCGTCTGCACCACCATCCCCTCCACCACCGCCACCACCTCCGCCACCTCCGCCACCCCCACCACCCCTCCCGCCTCCACGCCACCCTTCGGCCCGACGTCCCCTACCCTGACAAGCCTGCACCGGGGCTGCCGCAGCGGTTTGAGCAGCAGCGGCTGCCTCAGCAACAGCGGCAGAGACGTCAGAGTAAGTGCACTAGGAGGGAGCACATCCCTGGAAGATAGGGACCGCCGTAGTACCACTAGACTGAGCGATGGTGCGCTGGCGGGTCTCTATCGCGGATAAGGCGGTGACAAAGGCAGGAACGGTGAGGCCACCTGGGTGCTGATTAAGGAAGTGGTCGCGGGCAATGGCAAGGCGGTCAGGAAGGCGCGTGGCAATGAGGTAAAGGGTAGCGCAGAGGGGAGGAGGGAATGCAGTGAGCTGGGCCTCTGTGCTAATAGTGCGGTAACTAGTCTCAAGTGTGCACAGATGAGTGGCAAGGTCAGCGACAGTGTAGTAGAACGCAAGATGTGAGAACAGTATGGGGAGGATCAGACGGCTGGCTGAGGTGGAGAAGGGAGTGGAATAGTGCGTGATGACTGCATCCAAGTATTCCGTCGTATTTGCTATAGCAGTTAAGCGGGGACGCTCAGATAGGGGGAGGGCGTAACTAATTGCCAATGCACTACCACTTCGCCCGACTCCCAGACAGTGCGGGCAAGCTCAGCAGCGGCAAAGGCCTTATGCTCAGCAGACGTGGGAGCGCCAGGGAGGGCAGCAAACGCGGCGGGGTAGGGAATCTTACCGTCAATATGGACGGCCAGGGAGTAGCCGTCCTGGAGCTGACTTGTAAGCTGACGGCGGAGGTCGACGAGCCATGCCTCAAAGTCAATCGCCCGACCCTCCGTGTCCAAGCGGAGCGCAGCGTCCGTCATCACCATGACTGCAGCAGCTGACAATGGCATCGCGGCACGACGGCACGGCGACACGGCGGCACGGCGACACAGCGATAAGGCGGCATGGTGGCACGACAGCACAGCGGCACGACGGCATGGCGGCATGGCATCATGGCAGCATTGAAGCACGGCAGTACGGCGGCACTGCGACACGGCCGAAAAAGGGGCCGGCGCGAACTAGGGCCAGCTAGAACGGGGGCCGGTGCGAGCAGGGGCTGGTGCGGACTAGCGAGGCGGGCACAGAGGGGCGGGGCGGATGCAAAATGGCAGGGCTGGCGCGAACTAGGGGGGGCGGCGCGAAGTGGCGGGACCGCCACGGGCTAGCAGGGCCGACGCGGACTAGCGGGGCCAGCGTGAAGTGACGGGGCCGGCGCGAAGAGATGGGGTCGGCGCGGACTAGCAGGGCTGGCACGAACTTACGGGGCCAGCGCGAACTAGCAGGGCCGGCACGAACGGACGGGGTCGGCGCGAAATAGCAGGGCCGGCGTGAACTGATGGGGGCCGGTGCGAAGTGACGGGGCCGGCACGAACTAGCTGGGTCGGCGCAAACTGATAGGGCCAGTGCGAAATTGTGGGGCCGGCGCGAAGTGACGGGGCCGGCGCGAACTAGTAGGGCTGGTGCGTTGTGACGGTGTCGGCGCGATGTGACGGGGCCGACGCGTACTGACGGGGCTAGCGCAAAGCGGCAGGGCCGGTGCGAAGCGTCGGGGCGGGC